TTTTTTTTTTTTTTTTTTGAGAGAGGGAGAGAGGGATGGGCTGGGGCAAAGGGAGAGGGAGAGAGAGAATCTTAAGCACTCTCCGTGCCCAATGTGGAGCCCAACTCGGGACTTGATCTCTGAGATCATGACCTGAGCCAAAATTAAGAGTCAGATGCTTAACTGACTGAGCCCCCAGATGACCCAGGAGAAGTGTACTTGTGTTAGCATCTGTCTCCATGATCACAAATTCTAAATTAGCTTCATCCAAATTAACAGTTTTATGTTTTAGTTAAAATTCTATTTGTAGATTTGGTTTATCAATGAAATATTTTGGTGGTGTTTTCTGTTTCATTATTAAAAATCCATGTGTACTGTTACCATGAGATTTGGCTCCAAATTAGGTGGTTTATTCTACAAAATTCTTCCACTGGCTTCTTCTAACTGCTGGGTGGTCCATCCCAGCTGTTTTGCTGTTTTGTGGGATATTTCTTCATGATTTGTAAAATGGTAGCTCTATTGTCCCACTTAATTGTAAATATTAAAAAAAAAAAAACCTAGTCCACTACAAAATTCAAGGTAGTTTTGCTAGATATTTATAGTGAAATAATAAGTGGTTTTGAAAAATGGGTTAAACGTTTTTGCTTTCTTCTATTTTATCCTTCACAATGCATGGGAAAATGTGTAGAAAGAATTAGATTTAAGAATATGTGCATTTTGGAGAAAAGTGTTTTCAATAAATAACATGTTTAGCCATGTCATTTTTATATACTATATAAATATATATACTATACTTTCTTTTAAAAGTTCCAGCTTCTAACTTAAATGAATAGTACATAGCTTTAGTAAGTACCTTTACCCTTGTGTACCTTGGGACACCCAGCGCTTAGCGACTGGTGAGAAATATGGTTCTGATCACATCACAGGACAAAGCAGGTTGCACTGGATCACACCAGGCTTCTTTTGATCCCATGTCAGGTATGTCTTTTATCTCCTGAAAGACGGCATTTATAGAGTAGATCTCCCCGTGCCATCTGGTCGGGACTCAGAAGCCCTACATATTGTGGAGAGTTGCACATTAAAGGACTTTGCCGTGAAGCCACAGTCCAAACGAATTATTTACTTCAATGACACCGCTCATGTCTTCATGTCAACATTTCTGGACGGCTCTGCTTCCCATCTTGTCCTAGCTCATGTCTCCTTTGCTGATGTGAAGAGCTTTGCTTGTGAAAACAACGACTTCCTTGTCACAGATGGCAAGGCCGTTTTCCAGCAGGACTCTCTGTCTTTTAATGAGTTCATCGTGGGATGTGACCTGAGTCACATAAAAGAGTTTGGATTTGGTAACCTGGTCATCCTCAGCTCCTACGCTCAGCCGTACCCCCTGCCAGGCCGCCCACAGCAGCTCTCCGTGCTCTTTGGCTCCCACCAGGCCCTGGTTCAGTGGAAGCCCCCTGCCTTCGCCATCGGAGCCAGTAAGTGCCCCCTCCCCAGTGTTGCTGGAAGGAGGAAAGTTTGAATTGCTTGGCATCGCGACTCAATTTTGAGAACCTGTATGTGATTATTCAGTCATCAACCAGAAGTGTTATTTAGCTCCAGAAAAAGTGCTTAGACATTTGTTCTGCATTTATTAGTTTTGCACTAGGAGTGTCTCTATATTTCTTGTGTATATCCCAACACAATAGTTGGAACATTTATTGAATGTCTACCGGGAGCCAGGCACTGACATTCTGGTCTGAGTGAATATGGTAGCCAGAGGCATAGAGCAGGTGGGTTGAGATTTGTATCCATCCAGACCTTGCATGAATGGAGCAACTTCCTAAAACTCTCTGAACTTGAACTTCCGTCTCCAGACAGGCAGTGTGTGTGGAGGGTAAGCAGGTGGACTTTGGAGCCAGCCTGCATGGGTTCAAAGGCTGGTCTTGTCATTTATTAGTAGAATGATCCTGGGCGTATTACTTAACTGCTCCGTGCATTGGTTTTCACTCCTAGAAAATGGGAGCGTTAATTATATCTTTCATTCGGATTGTCACACAGAATGAATTAAGATGCATCAGTAGAACACTTAGCACAGTATCTAGCATAGAGGTCGGCAAACTTTTTCTATAAAGGAAGGGCTAGATAGTACATATGCTCAGCTCTGTGGGCCATATGGTCTGTCGCAACTATTCAAGTCTGTCATTGCAGTGTGTAAATATCCCTAGATTATATGTAAATGAGGAACTGTGCCGTTCCAGTACAATTTTATATACAAAAACAGGCAGTGGGCCAGATTTGGCCTGTGGGCTGTAGTTTGCCAACTCCTGGTCCTAGCATATTTAGCAAACATGGGCTATTTTTTAACTTGAAGACAAAGCTAATTATGCCTATTTGCTGTATATTTCCACTGCTCTAGAGGCAGTTTTTGTTGTTGTTGTTTGGTTTTGTATAGTTTGGGCTTCTAGAAGGAAGATACTGTACAAACACTGAGAGTTATAGTAGAGATTCATCATTAAACATTTGTTTATTAGGAGGCTGGTTACACCTGGGTGTTATTTGACACGCCTCTGATAATTTTATACAACCACACATGTAGCTTTGACTCTGATTTGTTGGAAATGACGTCTCCTTTGATGGAGCAGAAACTATGGCATGGCTGGAATGGACAGTGTCCTAGTCATATCGTCAGACCAACCCTGATGACTAGCGTGGTAGCATGTTTTACTGCCCAATTACCCTTCTACTCAAGATGAAGCTGTAGATGAATTCACTGACAACCTTTTGTTTGCCCTTGCCTGTCTCATCTTGGTGAGTAATATGGTTTAACTCTTCTGACTAGGCCCTTCTGCCTGGCAGAACTGGATTTATGAGGTAAAAGTATCAACCCAAGACTTTCCTGAAATCACTCACGTTTTCTCGAACATCAGTGGGACCGTGCTTCATGTGTCTGAGCTGCAGAGTGCTACAAAATACAAGATTTCTGTGAGAGCCAGTTCTCCCAAGGGGCCAGGCCCTTGGTCAGAGCCTTCGGTGGGTACTACCCTGGTGCCAGGTGAGAACATGTTCTTGATTTAGGGAGTAATTCTGACAACATAGGTTTATTGCCTGTGTCCTTAAGAGTTCCTCAACTCCAATGTGGTAAAGAAACTGGAATGAGGATGCATGGATTTCTTGGAGTATATGTTTATTATCTGGTTGAAGAAAGCAAATAAAGCATTGTGTGATATTTAATTTACATTTCTAAATTGTTATCTTAACCTTTTGAAGATATTTTTGAGGAAACGATATAATTTTCCTCTTCTTTATGGCTTTCTTCTTTCTCATGGTTTATGAAGCAATAATACCGCTTGAACTCTGAAGGTCATGGTGAGAGAAGTTGAGGGGCTGTGAATTATGCTGAACTCCACCCTCTTGGCTGAAAGAACATGGGAAGAGAATTATACCATTTATGCTGCTGTTGTTATCATGATGACTTCCGGGTGCTCTGCATGAAATCATGGCAACCGATAGCCAAAGGGGGAGGGGAGATCGTGCCATGACCATGACATTGCTATAGAGGTAGCATCACCACACATTTCTCTTCACATTCAATTTCAATTATTTATGTAATAATCAGGAAATATGTTTAACATGATAGAGAATTCTGTTAAGCAGATGTAATCACTCATATCCTTCCATGGTATTTTTTAAATTATCGATATTCTTTTACTTTATAAAGGAAATCTTAGGGTATAAGATGTGTACCTTAAAACATGTGTTTTCTGTGATATTTCTTTTAATATCTTTTTCACCAAACAGCTTCAGAACCACCATTTATCATGGCTGTGAAAGAAGATGGTCTTTGGAGTAAGCCATTGAATAGCTTTGGCCCAGGAAAATTCTTATCCTCTGATATAGGAAATGTGTCAGGTAAACACCCAATCCTTGTTCACTTGGATGTCAGGTTTCTACATATAAGAATTCCTAAGCTCTTCAATACATCCAAAGAATTGAATGTTTTGGTATTAGGGCAATAATGAAAGGAAAAAAACATGGACTGAACTACACTGCCAGTGATGCCATTAAGAAAATATCAGTTCTCCAGTATGGATGCTATTTATCATTTCACAAAATGTGAGGCTATTTATTGATTTATGCCCGTTTCAGTAAGGCTTTGATATAGTTCTGTATTTGAACCTCTCAATGTTATCTCGAGATAACAGCCTATCTGTTTCCACTAACATAGCTACACTTAAGTAACTTACTATGTTTGCTATAAGACTGAAGCAAGGAATGGTTGCACAAAGTTCTAAGTAAAGTGGAAGAAATAATTTCTTGACAAAGAGGATTATTAAGTAATAAGTGGGTAATTTTGCCTAGAAGACCTTAGGATGAAGGAAAGTCTTCATTGTGAGATGGTGCATCAGTGAGCTTGCCTGCAGATGACATCTTCTATAATTATGTGAATTATTTGTTAGATTTGCTGGGCCACTGAAAGTACAGCAGCATTTCTGACCAACATAGGACTTGGACTTAGGAGGTAGTGTGGTCATAGTAGAAAGAATTATGCTTTGGAGTTGTCTTGAATCTGGGCTCCTACTGTTTTCATCTGCGAGGCCTTGGGCAGAATAGATAATCTCACTGAGTCTCAGGTTCACCAAGTCAAAAATGGGCATAATTCCTTTTTTCAACCTTTGTTATCAGATTTAAGTGATATCTGTTAAGTGCCTGGGACAATGTTTGGCAAAGAGGAGGGTCTCAGTGAATATTAATCCCTCTCCCTAGTCCCAGGGTTTGAGATGTTGAGAGAACATTATTGAAACATTCTTGACAGATCCCTGAAGTTCTAATGAATGTCATGTTAGTATGCACTCTAAAATTATATGGAGGTGCATGTGTGATTTGTTGACTCACCACGTTTATGCTGGCATGCATGAGAAATAACTGCTACCAATTCACTTTGTTTTGAGACATGGATTGGTATAACAACAGCCTCTACTACAGCGACATGAAAGGTGATGTTTACGTGTGGCTGCTGAATGGGACGGATATCTCAGAAAATTATCACATATCCAACATTGCAGGAGCAGGGGCTTTAGCTTTTGATTGGCTGGGTCAATTTCTCTACTGGACTGGAAAGACATATCTGGTAAGTTAAAGCTCAGCATTCTGGATGCTCTAGCACAATACCCACCCTCCAGTGACTTACATGTCATTTTCATGATTTTTTTTCATACTTGTATACCACCTATGCTGTTATTTAATATTTGTCCTCAAACCTACTTACTTTTTATTTAAAAGGTATTTATATGTGAAGGAAGCTTTATGTTGCTGTTTGGTACACTAGTTCTAGATTTTCAATATCTTAAATATATGAAAATGTTCACCTGAGGGTCAGTGTCCTGGAGGAAGATGACACACTCCAAAGGCATGATTAAAGGAAACCCAATGAAGGGACTATTTTCAAAGGTGTGGAGAGGGCTAAGGAAAATGAGCAAAGGATGGTGAAGCATGCCCCGGGCTAGTAAGTGTGGGAATATATAACCACCTTCAGGCATATGAGGGCAAGGGGCTGTAGGGGAAGAATCTGGTGAGGGCTATACCTATAGAAGCTGCTGACATGAAACCCAGCCACTGTCAGAAGGTACGGTCTGCCAAGGAGCGACCTGGGGGTATAAGGACCCCAATCCTTCTTTCTTTCTACCCTCTGATCTTCTGCCAGTGCTTCCATTGGCTGAATGTCACTGGATGCCAGAGAATGAGTCCGGTTGATGCAGTCTATAGCACCAGGCTCCGGGCACACAGAGTCAGGTGGAGTGAGTGGAAAGTGTAGCTGGTTGCAAAATGAAGACATCCTGCACATCTGTGTAGTGGTACACTTCAAAGAGAAGGATGGTTAATGATGAGAATACTGGTCTGACAGATCCAGAAATATGGTACTGGAATCATTTTCTAAACAGGAAAGCACTAATTGTCCATTCATTTATTCATTCAACAATCATTTATCTATTACCAATGTGTTGAGAGCCGTGAGGACAGGCATACTAGGGAATATAAAGTAAATAGTAGACATGTATCTGTTTTAAAAAATTCAACTTTATGAAATACAATTCACATACAACAAAATTCACCCTTTTATTGTATAAAGTACACTGTTTTTTAGTATGTTCAGTGTTGTGTAAATCACTGCTACTCGTCCTTGTTCTTTTGATGAGATAAAATACCTATATACGATAATAGAAGAAGCATACAAAGCAATGTGTTTAGAGACAAAGCAATGTGGTATAGCTTGAATTCATAAGTGCCAATGCTAGCTATCCAGGTGGAATGGAGTTGAGTGGGGTAAATCTGAGAATACTTCCTGAAGTGGATTAGTTTAAAAATAGTTTTGAAGGAGGAAGTGGAAAAGCGGATGTAAAAAAACTGCTTTCAAGTATTTGCTCTATCTCTAACAAAACTGCTTAACTCCAGGAAAAATGACTTAGCTTCTTTGAACCCAGTTAACCTGTGATAGAAATCCTTTATAATGTTAGGGTTACAAAAGCTAATATTTTAAAGATAAAAATATACACTGCCTGATACATAATAGGTACGCAGTAATGGCAGTAATTAATATCAGAGAAATATACTGATAGAGATGAGCAAGGAGAGAGGTCATCATTTATCAGGATGTATACATCTCCTCAAGAGTCCAATGCAATGCATTCTTACCTAGCAGTGTTTCAATTGTCTGGTTGTATGATTAGGCAAAGTAAGTATTTTAACTCAAAATCAATTCACCTCCCTTTTTTCTAGAGTCATGAAAAGAGATGAGCTCCACGAGGGTGTTCCCCATGACTATTATGCTCCCAAGGGTTTGCACACTACCCAGCAGATAGTGCTAATAAATATTCGTGCTTGGATGAATGCAGCAATTTACTAATGATTGCAAAAAACTACTCAGAAATAACCATGGCATGTGAAAATTATTAACCGACCGTATAATTATGTTTTATAGATACAAAGGCAGTCTCTGTTGACAGGGCACACAGACATTGTGACTCATGTGAAGTTGTTGGTGAATGACATGGTGGTGGATTCAATTGGAGGTTATCTCTATTGGACTACACTATACTCAGTGGAAAGCACCAGGCTAAATGGAGAAAGTTCCCTGGTACTACAGGCACAGCCTTGGATTTCTGGGAAAAAGGTGATGAATTAAAAATAAGATCTGATCATTTACTAATATTAAGTCGTGCTACTGTATAGTTATGACAATACTGTTTCTGGTAGAATCTGAAAGGAAATACTGTCAGGATGTTGGTATAACTGAAATTTCTCTAAGTCTCATTTAATTGTCATAATGGATTAAATAAATTAAAATACAATATGGAGAATTTTGTAATTTGCTTTATCTTGAATGGACCCGCACTTAAAAGCATTTTATTTTATTTTATTTTTAAAGATTTTATTTATTTACTTGAGAGAGAGAGAATGAGAGATAGAGAGCACGAGAGGGAAGAAGGTCAGAGGGAGAAGCAGACTCCCCGCTGAGCAGGGAGCCCAATGTGGGACTCGATCCTGGGACTCCAGGATCATGACCTGAGCCGAAGGCAGTCGCTCAACCAACTGAGCCACCCAGGCGCCCTTAAAAGCATTTTAATTTCTGACTGTTTTTAGAGTTCTTAGGAATTGTATTGAATATTTTAGAGCTTCTTGTTGGGTAATAATTAGATGTTTTATTATTTTCCATCAATTTTGGGTACAGATTGCTTAGATGGTTTATTATATTCGATCAATTTTGGGTACTGACTGCTCTAAAAACTGTGTGACTCCTAGGCAAAGTATTTGACTTCTCTTTGTTTCCTTATCTGAAAAATGGGAATATTAGCAATTGTCCTACCTCTTAGGGTTGTTTCAAAGATTAAATGAGATAATTAATGGGAGGTACTGAGAATAGTTCCAGGCACATGGTAACCACTCAATAGTTAAGTTCTTATCACCGTATCTAAATCTGAAAAACACACCTAATATAGGAATATATCTAAACACACGTTACTTTCATTTTCTTGATCCTCAAATTCTAGAAGCAATACATATTTTTCTTGATCCTCAACTTCTAGAAACAATACCTATATTCTTGAGACCCTGTAGTTATTCATCGAAATATCTGAATTTTGTGTTTCCTGATCATAACGGTAATATATGTTTGCTGTAGGAATTTAGAAATCACAGAAAATCATGAAAAAGAAATAAAGCATTCATACTATTTCAACCTAAGATATGCCTTAAAATTTTTCTTATTTTTTTAATCATTTTTTTTTGTTTGCCAATAGAGGTAAAATACACATAATATAGATATGCCAGATCATTTGTAAACAAATTGTGAGTCACATGATCTCCAATTTCAGGATATGTGGGCTGTAATTCCTAGGGTATTTCAAAGACCTTATTTGCATATACAGATTATAGCACAGATATTTAAAAGAAATAAAGACTTATACACATATCCTGAGATTAATCATTCCTGTCAAATCATGAAAACATTCCTTAATTCTATTTTGGAGCCACTTGAGTCTGAATACAGGAGAGTATATTTTTTATGTCTCAATAGTAAGAGTTAGGGCAAAGCACTTTTATTTTTGTAAAAGCATATTAAAGTTAATATTATCTCAGGAGTAACTATCTATTTCTGGGGCTTTGTCAGTAATCTCCCTCACTGCTCCAATCTGGTCATTTGAGATATATTCACTCAGGAAAGTTCTGTAGCGGCGCTGGGGACTTTCCTGAAAATGAGTGAAAAATTAGATTACTCAGCATGTTCGGGGAAACACACCATTCCTTAAATCCCCACTTCAAATCCTCTCACGGGCTGGGGAGTGTTGCTGCTTGTACAAATCTGCGTTCTGGGTCCATGGTTTGATGTCTTACCCATCTGCTTCCATTAAAGCTAGTGGGTGTTTTGAAGGTAACGCATTTTGCACAGTGCAAAACTCCATTTCACTGTCATTCCTTCATATGTTACTCAAACATAGATTTATCATGGAGTCATGAGATACTTTGCAATCAACAGGTATAATAAAGTAGTCAGCCAATTCCTTAGAGAAAGACCTGATTTTTATGTGATTCAAAGGGAGAATGCTGTGAGATATTCATCTAAAGTGAACAGATAGCCTTTGCCACATCTGATGGATCGGGTGGGCGCCTAATACATAGTACATTTTACCACAGGATTAAACCTCAAGCTTTTAGTTTCGATCAAAGGGATTATTTCCAAGGCATGGGCGTTATTAGACATAACAATGGTTACCAAAGACTTATGGAACTTCCTCTGGTTCTGTTTAAATAGGGGCCCAAATGACTGATGCAAAAGAATGCGGTAACCAACACCTGAATTTTACTTACAGCTCAAATAGTTTGTTGTATTCCAGAACAAGGAGTTGTAAAATATTCTTTTCTAAGAGATAAAAGAGCCTTCATAATTTGGAAAACTCAAGTGCATCTCATTATAAATAACCAAACAGGATTAACCCGATTTCACTTTAATTGAAACAATAGTCAATACATTTCTTTTAGCCTGAGGCAAGGCCGTGATACCACTCCCCAAGGGCTGGGGATTGCTAAAATAGTGTTTATTTATTTATTTTATTTTTATTTTGTGGGAAAGGAGTAGGTTGAGTTTCCTTGAAGACAGAAGGCTGTGATGTATATGATAGTTGGAGCTTTTGCAGTGAATGTGCCTTTGTAGCAGGCCTTGGGGCACCTGTCAGCAAGAATTTTTAGTTCTTGGATAGCTTGCTGTATTCTTTTTGTACACTTTTCACTGGCTCATCATTTTTGTTTGTATGCTGCAGTGTCTTGTTAAAGATGTAGTCGTCAACTTTTTTTAATGTTTTTTTTTAAGATTTTATTTATTTATTTGAGAGAGAGAGAATGAGAGATAGAGAGCACGAGAGGGAAGAGGGTCAGAGGGAGAAGCAGACTCCCCGCTGAGCAAGGAGCCTGACCCAGGACTCGATCCCTGGACTCCAGGATCAGGACCTGAGCCAAAGGCAGTCGCCCAACCAACTGAGCCACCCAGGTGCCCTGTAGTTGTCAACTTTAATCCTTGATCCCTCTTAGCCTCTAGGTCTGCTCTAGAAACAGTCCATCACTGAGGTCAGGCACCTGGCAATCTCAGCTTATTTGAAAATTACCTCTAATGCCAAAGAAAGCAAAAGTGTTCCTTTGGGTTGTAACTTCTACCCATGTAGTCTATGTCATAGGAGAAGCAGACTTTTCTCAGGCCTCACCTAGACAACCGTACATAAAGTTAAGACAGGCACTGTAACAAGAAGACGAGGGAAGATTAGTAAGGAGTGGTTTTCAGGTGTTAGTTGGAAATAGAAATTTATATGTACATGACTCTATTTAACTATAACACATAAAAACCCGGTGTGTATTATATTTTTTAAATGTGTCAGGACATTTTGGTTGTAATTAACAGAAAATATAATTTAAAATGGCTTAAGACATTGGTTCTCAATCTTGATGACATTAGAATTATCCGGAGAATTTGAAAACACACTGGAAACTGGGTTCCATCTCCAGAGATTATAATTTAATAGTAGGCACTCTGGGCATTGAGGGGGTTTAAAGAACTCAACAGGTGATTTTAATGTGCATCCATGTTTGAGAACAACAGATTTAAACAACAATGAAATTCATTGGCTGAGGCGGCCAGAGTCCAAAGTTATGGCTAGCTTTAGGCAAGGCTTGACACAGTGGCTCAAAGTTCCTGATTCAATAGGACCTGAAATGTGGCTGAGAATTTGTGTTAAGTTTCCAGGTGATGCTGATGCTGCGGGTCCAAGAATCATACCCTGAGAACCACCAGAGTCCCTGCCTCTTGAGGATTTTTAGGAAACCAGTGTCTATATCCAAATTGCATAGCAACAGGCACACTCATGTAATTTTGATATTCAGTGAAAGGTAAAAATCACTGAGTTTATTATTCCAAAGAGGATGTTAAAGAGAACTCTATAGCCTAAGTGTGACTTATTCACAAAGGGATCCTCCAAACATGTATTTGATGCATTTTCTTACCTTATTTTCTATTTAGGTAATTGCTTTAACTTTAGACCTTAGCGATGGGCTCCTGTATTGGTTGGTTCAAGACAGTCAATGTATTCACCTGTACGCAGCTGTTCTTCGGGGGCAGAGGTGAGTAATCGCCCTTGAAAACAATTGGTTAAGAATGAGAACGACTTACCCCCTCAGTTATGTGATAATGCATGGAAATTCATTTATTCTTCCAATAAACATTTACTAATTACCCACTGTTTCTACAGGCATTGTGCTTGTGGAGTAAGATAGGTTTGTAAACAACTACTTACAGTGGAATAAGGTGAATCCTGTGATGGGGTAGAAAGACAGTACGGTGAAAACACCGAGAAGAATGCTTCTCGAGAGCTCAGGAAATGGACAGATGTGTTTTTTCCTCTTCTTAACAAAGCAGAGTGTACATGATGGAGTTAGGCAGAAATCATCTGGTCTGGCACACATGAAAACTGGAGTGGAAAGAAGCACATGAATTATTCTCTCAATCTGTGTCCTCAAACTAAGCCCCCAGTTCTCTCGGTGTCACCATGTCTTCTGTAATAGTGCTGTTGGGGTTGTTTGTTTGTTTGTTTTTTCCTAGTATTTTTCCTATACTTTTTTTTTACACATTTTTGCTTTTTAAAATTAAGTGTAGGGCTGCCTGGGTGGCTCAGTTGTTAAGCGTTTGCCTTCGGTTCAGGTCATGATCCCAGGGTCCTGGGATCCAGCCCCACATCAGGCTCCTTGCTCAGCGGGGAGTCTGCTTCTCTCTTTGCCTGCCTCTCTCTCTCTCTCTCTCTCTCTCTAACAAATAAATAAATAAAATCTTTAAAAAAGATAAAATAAAATTAAGTGTAATATACATAATACGAGATGCTCAGATCTTCAGTATTCCAGTGTATCAGTTTCGACAAATACATCTTAAGACACAGACTCAGTTCCTTTGGTTAACTGGTATTCCGTCTGCATGGCTCAGTTTAAACACTGTTCTTTAAGAAGCACTTTTTTCTGACCAGACTCCAGTAGGTCTCCTTGTTAAGGAATCCACTCTACCTTTCTTCTTACAGTGATGTTCAGCAGTGTCTACCAGACTGCCTTTTCTCCTAGCCTGTGTATTCTATGAGGGCAGGGATTGTATTTGTCTTATTTACCACTGCATTCCTGGTGGCTAACACAGAAGCAGGCACAGAACATTTGTTGAATGAATGAGTAAATGAGTGAACCCTCAGCCTAGTAACCTCAGCTGACCTCTATACACAATGTCAGAGCATCATGGAAGAGTTTGTCTTTTTATGACTTTTTTGTTGAGCTTTGATTTAAATCCAACTTCACTTATTGCTGAGGGCTGAAGGGTTTAAAATTCCACATGGAAAGAAGCCCCATACTGACCTCCTGAAAGTGAAGAGGTTTTGCTGAAGTTGTGCTGTGAACATTGGAGGTCAAGAATTTTCTGGTTAGCTCAGGAGATTTTTACAGGGGAGGAGTCTTCAGCTGGAAATGAGGGGCAATCCAAGCCAGTAGCAACTAAGGGATATCCAGTCTCACCCCATGGGGAAATCCTCTGCCCTGGAGACTATTTGGGGAATGTTGAAACGAACAATCTGGTGAGCAAAACGAACACAAACGGGTTCACAGGATACAGGCTGCAGGAGCTCTGTGGGTGGTCCAGAAGAGGCTCGCCTCTTCAGACCACATGCATCCTGCCTGGTGAGGTTCCTTCCATTTGGAATTTGGTTTTATGCATTTCACAAGGTTACTGGAAAGTTCTAATGAGAAATAGAAATAACAAGGTGTAAAATTAGACAAGTGGGTGAAAGTCCAAAAGGCGAATCAGATACTGTCTTCAGAACCATATTGGTATGAATAGAGTATTTTACTAGAAAAAGGATGATGGGAATAGTCTTCGTGAATATCCTTCTTTACAAGGTTCCCAATTTCCAGTTATGGTCCTCTTAGAGTGAATAGTTTCAGTTTTGTCAAGGAGGTATTGTGAAATTTACAAATCAAAATTTTTATGTATTTTCATTTTAAATGCCATACTTCATACTTTTCTAAAGAGGGACATGTCAACACTCTAAAAAGCTTCAGAGAAATCATCCAAAAAAAGTCAAACCACTGCTTCAAAAGGCTGAACATCACTGAGATAGTTTCTATTTATTGAGTACTAGGCAACTGGAGTAATTTGAGAAACCACTAAGCGGATTTTTAAATAAAAATCATTGTAAAATTCTGTCATCAAGAAAAAACTGTAAAATCAATTTAAGTAATAGTCTGTTAACTTGAATCCCCCAGTCTGAAAAGAAGCATTTTGAATAAGCTGAAGAGCTTAATAAGTATCATTGAAGCAACAGTTGTGAGTAGTATAAAGTGAAGGACCAAACAGGCTAGAATGATGAATGGCAAATAGGGAAGGTGACTAACCAAGTACAGGAGGGAGGCACGGCTCAGTGAGGAGAAAGCAGTCAATATTCAGGGTACTTCCAAGAATCAAAAGTATTAAAATCTGTGTATCCTCTTGCCATTGCAATATCACATTAAGAAGAAAAGTCCTAGAAAATTTGCTTTAGGTATACTTTAACAGAAATGTAAAAAATCAACTTTCTATGGAACTAAAAATAGCAATGATTATTGATAATGTTCTATTGTTATTATTGATAATGATTTTTGTTCTTGTATACACAAACACACTCTCACAAACACATAATCTCTCCAGTACTGGCATGTACCAGCCCTCCCCGCCTCCCCACTTTAGGTACACATGGTAATTGGTGTCATGTCTTCGCAGCTCTGAGGAGACCAACATCACAGAATTTGCAGCCTGGAGTACTTCGGAAATTTCCCAGAATACACTGATGTACTATAGTGGTCGACTCTTCTGGATCAATGGCTTTAGGATTATCACAGCTCAGGAAATAAGTCAGAGAGCCAGTGTCTCTGTTTTGGAACCAGCCAAATTTAATCAGTTCACAATTATTCAGACGTCCCTCAAGCCTCTGCCAGGTACAAGATTTTATTCCTGCTTACCCTCTCTCCTCCAAACTTTTTGCTAAATAATGTTTAGGTGGGATTTTTTCTTAACAATTATGTTTTTAAAAGAAAAAGGCTTTAGTAGTTTCCATTGGTTTGCTTGCAGTCAGTTTACTCTTAACCCAAATTTGCAGCATGTAACAGTCAGAAAAAGAAAAATTTCAGGATATATTAAAGGAAAGGGAAACTTTGTTTTGGTACCAATTATTAGTAATTTCTATTAATTTTCCATGTTTTCTATGATGATTGAGAATCTTAAATTCTTTCCCCCTCTATTCTTTCTTTTCATCCCATAGGCAACTTTTCCGTTACCCCCAAGGTCATCCCAGATTCTGTTCAAAAGTCTTCATTTAGAATCGAAGGGAATGCTTCAAGTTTTCAAATCTTGTGGAATGCTCCCCCTGCAGTGGATTGGGGTGTAATTTTCTACAGTGTGGAATTCAGTTCTCATTCTAAGGTATAGTGTTGGTTCTAGTAGCTTCCATTTTTCAAGCAGTCTGTACCATCTGCATCAGCCCTGCCTGCACTGATTTGTGCTTCCTTCATTTAGCCAAGCCCGTCTATTTCCTTTGTTGTTCCCATAGCATTTGGTTATTAAGATTTTTCCTGAGAACCCTTGTTTATAGCCAGTCTCTGACCATTTTGTGGTTAGTGGTAACAACTGGTTTGTTAGATACATTTTAACTGGTTTATATGGAGCCACATGGACCTCACCAACATTAGCATTTCCAAAATTGCACATTTTGACTTTACATGTGAACCGGAGTTTGGGATTTTAGTTAATTAGGAGTAAAGGATTTTATGATTCCCTTACTAAGAAAATAATGTTTTGTTCTTATATTTTAGTTCCTGGCTAGTGAACAACAGCTTTTACCTGTATTTACTGTGGAAGGGCTGGAGCCTTATGCCTTCTTTAATCTCTCTGTCACTCCTTATACGTACTGGGGAAAAGGCCCCAAAACAGCTCTGTCACTTCGAGCACCTGAAACAGGTACATGGGTCAAAATCTCTTTTACAAAAGGCAGAACCTCACTTTCCATGATCTAGAATAAATAGCTAATAATTTTTTAAAAATAACTGTCAGTTTTGTAGATGTGTTTAGATTCAAGACCCTTTCAATGACTTTTCGGAGATGAGAATAGCACCATTAAAATAAATCTGCATAATTTATTCCAAAAGCATATTTCAAGGATTTCTTAGAGACTGTTTCACTTGATTATCATAATATATCTGATGCAGAAACCTGTTTCAGGAAATTTGTGAAAGCCTTGATAAGGAAAATGGGAATATAACAGCAGAGACAATTTCATGGAAGGCAGGCATGTCGGTAGATGTTCCCACGATGGTAGCTCAGAATCTTCCGTAGGTGAATAACTGATGTCTAAATTTAACGCTTCTCTTTGGTATATATTTTAAAAAGGATACTAGTCATATCTTTACATGCATATTGCTATAAAATGTGCAAAGCACATTTATATGTATCACTCCTTTATTAAACATTTATTGCATACTTATCATGTGTCAGAAACATTATTTCATCCTTTCATTTGACCCTCACCCTGCTCTGAGGAAGGTAGGACAGGTGTTACTATCTCATCTATGCAAATGAGAAAGCAGAAGCCCAGTGGCTGCCCAATGTCACATAGCCAATTAAGTGGCAGGGCTGGGACTTAATCCAGACTTTTCGCTGTAGTTTGATCAAATCTCCATTCAGTCATTTCTGCAAATGGTGGCCAAGGATAGTATCATATTGATTTATTTAATATCAACTTATTGGCACAGGACCCGGCAGGTGTTGGGGACTCAGTAAGCATAGACATCCATTCACCACTGTGGTTTTTTAACTGCTAAGATTCTTTCAATGATTTATCCATGAGTCTCATAACAGGAACATAGTGGAGCCTGGGCAGGTTCTGGAGCAGTTAGCGTTTGGATCCAGGTATGCTCTCTTTGAGATTGTCTTGGGATGTCAGCTGTGGTCGGATTCTTCTGTGGAAATGGCTTTGTCTGCATCTGTCAGGGGATAAACCGGGGACTAGAGTCATCAGCACTCTGCTGGATATTGGGGACAATAAAATAAAAAGACAAGAAAAGAAAAGATCTGGCCTTTGCCTTCAGGAAATTTACAGTATAGTCGGGAAATTATTCCAATTGACAAATCTTTATTAAGCATTTCCTGTGTGCCAGTCCTATACTAGATTTGAGGGGATTTAACAAAGAATAAGAACATGTGCTTTCTCTCATGGAGCTCATAAAACAGTAGAGATAAACACATGCTTCCAACGGTAGTAGAAATGAGGCCGTGGGAACTGAGTTGCAATGACATAGAGTGAATAGACAAGATGGAAAGCTTCATCTATACCAAGCAGCCCCCGCACTCTTAGGAGAGTGCAGTGCTCATGGACTGGTATGGCCGCTGAAGGCCTTTGGGAAGGGCGAATTCTAGCTGGGCTCTGAGGAATGATGCAAGAAAAGGTATCCCATGTGAGCACAGCATAAGCAGGCCTGGAGATTGTATTATGATGTAAGTGTCGAACATCGAGCAGCAATGCGATTAGAGTCGGGCGGGGGGGGGGGGACCTTGTAGAGGAGTCTGAAGAAAGAAGACAGGTATCTTGGATGAAATGACATAGACATCAGGCAGAGGAATTTCTCTTGATTAAGAGGAAGAGAAATTCGTTGAAGGACTGGGAGAGACTAAATTGCTTGGTTTGACTCTAGGATTAATGGTAACCACAAACCACACTCCTGGGGGGTACTCCCTGCCGGGGAGGGTTCAAGGTGAGAGTGCCTGGATCCGTGAGATGCTTCATGTTATATCCTGAACTGGCTGAAGGCTGGACCGAGTTCCTGCCCTGCTTCCTGTGACAGCCATTTCCACCACCAGCTGAATCACTATGTCAGGATGAGAGTAAATATTGTATTTTTTTTAACTTATTTATTTATTTGAGAGAGCGAGAATGAGAGAGGGAGAGAATACATGAGAGTGGGGAGGGTCAGAGGGAGAAGGAGGCTCCTCGCCGAGCAGGGAGCCCGATGTGGGACTCGATCCCGGGACTCCAGGATCATGACCTGAGCTGAAGGCAGTTGCTTAACCAACTGAGCCACCCAGGCGTCCCTAAATATTGTATTTTATAAGGAGAACCAGCCACCCTCCAACTGTGCAGGGCGCAGATGAGAAAGAAGGACCCAAGTGCTGGCAAGAAGGATTTGGGTTGAAGATAAGAAAGATTTGCTGGGCGCCTGGGTGGCTCAGTCGTTAAGCGTCTGCCTTCGGCTCAGTCATGATCCCAGGGTCCTGGGATCGAGCCCCGCATCGGGCTCCCTGCTCAGCAGGGAGTCTGCTTCTCCCCCTGACCCTCTTCCCTCTCGTGCTCTCTCTCTCTCATTCTCTCTCTCTCAAATAAATAAATAAAATCTTTAAAAAAAAAAAAGTTATCCTGGGGGTGCCTGGGTGGCTCAGTTGTTAGGCGTCTGCCTTTGGCTCAGGTCATGGTCCCAGGGTCCTGGGATCGAGCCCCGCATCGGGCTCCCTGCTCAGCAGAGAGTCTGCTTCTCCCTCTCCCCCTCCCCCTGCTTGTGTTCCCTCTCTCGCTGTGTCTCTCTGTCAAATAAATAAATAAAATCTTAAAAAAAAAAAAAGAAAGATTTGCTGAAATATCAGGATAGGTTCCTGAAGAAATCTGTGGAATATTCTCTCCTGAAGATCTTTAAGAACAAGATAGATACACTTCAATGGTCTGGAATGAGAAGTACTTATTACTAACTTTCTCCACACCCTCACCACGAATGGTAAAAAGTCAACCTTTTATTCTTGTCTACCCTATCTGTGTCTCTGCTTTGCAGTTCCGTCGGCACCACAGAACCCTAGGATATTTGTATTACCAAGCAGAAAATACCATAACCAGAATGAAGTTGTGGTGGAATTTCGATGGAATAAGCCTAAGCATGAAAATGGTGTGTTTACAAGATTTGAAATTTTCTACCAAATATCCAACCAGACAGACACAAATGAAACTTTTGAAGACTGGATCGCTATCAGTGCGGCTCCCCCGGAGATGTCTTTTCAGCTTGAACGCATGAGTCCTGGGTACACGGTCGCCTTCCAGGTGAGAGTGAAAACAGGGAAATGACAAGGGTCTCAACAGTGCAAACAGAAGGTTGATTAAAGGACTAGGTTAAGAATTCGGCCACTGTGTCAATAATTTGAGGTCCACTGTGATCACGGAAGTCAAGTGGGTATCAAGGATACAGAGGGGAGAGGGGACAGCTAAGGTAAAGGACATCTTGACAACTTTCCGGCTTTCAGACTCAGAACAGACCATTATTTTTTCCCGTGATCACTATAGGCCATGTACCACGGAAGATGCTTTTATATTCCTTATCTCATTTGATCCTCTTACGGTCTGTGTAGAAAAAGCCATGTCCCTGGGTTATCAGTGAGTTACTAATGCTGCATGGCTAGGAAGTGCTGTGCTATAGTCCAACTTCTAGAGTCCTTTCCACCAGATCACATCACTATTGTGAATCCTCTGGATGCCCCAACTTGGAGCTACCAATGGAAATAAAAACTGAGGGGCTAGGTAGTTGACATCTCAAAATTACTGTCTGGCAGCCGATAGAGGAGAAAGTGAGAGAGAATAGGAGTCAAGAATAAAAAGCTACTGCCACCCCATTTGTGCATTTTAACTTTAATGTGAAATAGCTTTCTACTTATGATAGACGGCTTGATGATTTTCATATCTTCATTAAATAGCAAGTTGGTGACAATGTTGTACACATTTAGAGCCATTTTCCATCTCTTTTTTGGGAACATAAGGCTTTGGGGAATGTTTTAGAGATTTGAGCATCCTAAGGATCTATTTTCTTTTTGTAAAATCCTAATTTAATAATTATTTTGTTAATATATTAGGTCTACCTACATGAATCAAAAAAGCTGTACATAAAAGTTAAAGATAATACGCATTCCTATTTGTTAAGAATTATGTGTATTCTGGTTAAATAAATATCTTGGTTAATTTTATCTGTCTGTATGTACATAGAGTTTCAGATCTCAGTCACCACAGGACCATGCAAAGTGATATGCATGGATATGCATGAGCTTTACTTAACATGGTCTTGTGCAAAAGTGAAGACATCTTGGTATATGTATGTACCATGATACACACACACACACACACACACACACACCCCATATACAGATATTAGTATGTATAATATAGTAAAATATATTTAACACTAGAAGTATAATAAAAATAATCTAATGCTTTGTTGATCGAGAGGGCACCTGAGGATCTACCCTTTGGGTCCATCATTATGGATGTCAATTTTCTTTATAGGTTGTTGTACATATGCAAGGTTTGGAAATGGAAATAATTTATTACACAATAAAAGACATGTAATAAAAACTGTTTTTAAAAAGCTTTGGTACTAGGATGCAGGGCAGCACTGTGGGAAGAAAGTATACGACCCTCAGAAGACATGATTTTTATGCCGGTTTTTGCATGTGTCATTGTGGATGAGTTACTTATCTTTAACTGTGATTTTGTCCAGTTTCTGCTCTTAGTAGTCATGAGGATCAAAAGAGATAATGTATGTAAAAGTGGTTTGAGATGTGCAACTTTTTTTCAAATATAAGTTTTAATGATTATTTTCCTTTTCTAAAACCTCCTTTTTTAAAAGTATAGTAAGGTTAGTTTTTTAAGCTTCTAGTTGTTTATTTCACAGTAAGTGGAAGTTTACCATAATATGCATAGTTTTGTTTCTGTAAAATGTTCTACATAATTTAATTGTGAAAATAGCTAAAAACCTTTCTTAGAAATTCAAATCTTTTGCAGTGGAGATTTGTGCCATTACTTTGTACTCTTTTAGACAAAAACAACAACAACAATAAAAAACCACCAGCATGAATGTGAGGCAATATTTACCTCTTAGTGACTTGTTGCTTTATACTCGGATGGAAGTAACTATTTTGAGACTATTCAGTCAGAGAAAGACAAATACTGTATAATTTCACTCATATGTGGAATTTAAGAACAAAACAGATTAACATAGGGGAAGGGGAAAAAAATAGAGGGAGGCTAAACATAAGAGACTCTTATCTACAGAGGACAGACTGAGAGTTGCCGGAGGGGAGGTGGGTGGGGATGGGCTACATAGGTGATGGGTACTAAGGAGGACACTCGTGATAAGCACCGGGTGTTGTATGTGAGTAATGGATCATTAAATTCTACTCCTGGAACTAATATTACACTGTATGTTAACTCCCTAGGAATTTAAATAAAAATTTGAAAAAAAGAAACTTCATAATCGATATCAGAATTGTGAAATGAAAGCTTCAATAATCTATCAGTCTCAGAATGTAATTATTATCATTGAGAACTCTGTTGAATGCAATTTTTTTGGTATCCTTTTCTTTCTTTAGGTTCGAGTCTTCACATCCAAAGGACCTGGACCATTTTCTGAAATAGTAAAGTCCAAAACATCAGGTATTTGTTACCTAAAACCTGTGCAAGGAACAGTGTTTTAAAAACATTCTTGACTGTTGGTATTCTCAGGGATATGAATGCTGTCTTTGAGCTGAAGTTAAAGTCAAGTAATAAATTTTTATCATCACTGAACACACTTAAATAAACTTAAGCATAGGGCGCCTGGATAGTGTTGACTGAGACTGGAATGGTAACTGAACCCAGAGGAAACCCATGGATTTCAGAATAGCCTTCTAGTGAATCAGGGGATTTTGCCAAACCAAAGTTTTTTTTTTTTCCCCTTATACATATTATAAGTGTTTTGTTTCTTATTTTCAGAAATCATCCCATTTCCATACCTCATAACTCTTTTTGACAGCAAGATAGTGTTATTAGATATGGATCAAAATCAAATTGTATGGACGTTTTCAACAGAAAGAGACATCAGTAGCATGGGCTACACAGCTGATGATGGAATGGGGTATTATGCTCAAGGAGACTCACTCTGCCTTCTGAATATGCACAACAGGTCCACTTCTGAGGTATTTCACTATGTAAATATTCTGGAGGGAAGGATGTGGATAATTTGCATATCATACTACCCTGTAATTAAAATGACTGGTCAGTGGTTGAGCCATTAAGATAAGAATGGTTGAAAAGGACAGATGTTGTATAATTATTTAGTCACAAATGAATAGAGATTAGATTTTGGGCAAATGTCATTCAGGATTAATTTAGTAAATAGTTATTTGGTATAAGGCACTGTGTTAGTTCCTGGGATGGAAGAAAAAAAAAATCACAGTCTTTGAACAAACCCAGTCAGGTATTAGTCTAACACTAGGAAGACAGTCCTGTGTAGCTATTAAGAGGTGAGATTTGGGATCTGAAATTTAGAATTTAATTCTGGCTTCACCACTTACTAGATCTGACCATCAGAAAGTTATTTAACTACTGATTATGTGGTATCTGGTCATATGACTCCTGTGAAGATTAAATGAGATAATCTAGGTGAAGCACTGAACATGATGCCAGGAATGTGGTGGCATTCACTGAATAGAGCAGACAGACAGAAGACGGCATTGTGCTATGCTGAGGGCAGGGTGTGGTGGTATCACAGAAAATGGGTGATCAATCCAGGTTAGAGTGGTGGTGGTGGTGGTGGTAGAATGGAAAGACGTGTTAGGTACAAAGAAGATGAACCAGGTGAAGGTGGGAAAAGCTGAGGGGGTAGTAAGAGTAAAGACGGGGAAATGAGAGCTGTACCACATTTAGGAGGCTATAAATAGAGTGAGCTTGGAATGGAGATGGGGGTGAGGGTGAGAGAAGGGTAGGTGGTAAAGCTGGAGAAGTAGGCAGGAGCCTCAACATAATGGGCCTCCTTCACCATGCTAAGGTGTGGAGCGCCAATCCTGAAGACCACATAAAGCCATTAAAGAAACTTAGGGGGCCATTCACATGATCAAGTTATGTTATAGAGAGACCTCTCTCTATAAGTGGTGTGAACTATGACTTAGAGAAGGTTAAGTCTTAGACAATTAGGAGGCTATCATAGAAACCCAGAGGATATGTTAGGCAGGAAATGAGAGGCAGTGAGATGAGAAAGGAGAGGACAAATCTGGGACATATTTCAAATGGGACTAATTCACAATGGGCAGTCATGATAGGAAGAAGTCAAGGATGAACCACATTTGTCAGGATTGCTCCTCAGGTGAGTGTTGGAAATCCACAAAAATATACTATGCAGGAGAAAAGAAGGTTTTGGGGGTGGAGTGATGAATTCTGTTTTCTGGGATCATTCAGATGGAGATGTTCAGTAGTCAGTTTGAATCAGTAACTCAATGAGGGATCTTGCTACTGTTCTTGTAGCACTGGTCTATGAATTATAGTTGAAGTCATGGTAGTTGAAATCAACCAAGAGAAAGAATACAATGTGGGAAGAGGACCAGTGTTACAATGGTACACAGTCCAGAGCTATTGAGATTTTTGGATTACAAAGAAGCGCAGTAAATAAGTAATATGGTAGATTACAGAAAAGTCCTCAAATTAAAAAAAAAAAAAATGACCACTGTCTCCTTGGCTGTGTTTTCTACCTATTGTTAAGATTTTCCGAGATACACTGGTTTTTGATATCACAATTATTACAATTGACTGGATTTCAAGGCATCTCTACTTTGTGCGAAAAGCATCACAAAATGGAATGCAAATATTTGATGTTGATCTTGAACACAAGGTGAAATACCCCAGAAAGCTGAAAATTTGTAATAGAAATTCAACAATAGTCTCTTTTTCAGTATATCCTCTTTTAAGGTATGTAAAGTATGAGTATCTGTTTCTGTTGTGATGAAATAGAGACATTTAATATAATATCTGGTTTAATATTAGAAGTCATTGATGGGAAAATAAGATACTTAGTATTCTTGACTAGCTACATTAATTCATAGTAAGTAATTCTACACATAAATTATGAGCCCACAGCCACAAATTTGTAAATTTAATCCATACTGACAACTTGGCTAACCTAAAAGTTACAGCAATTACCAAGAGGAAACCAAAGCAGATTTTTATACCAGTGGATTTCCTAATATCCTCGGATGATAAGGATGAGAAGGGGACTGAGACAGTGGCAAGAGATGAATAGGAGATGGACAGGCTACATGTCAGGCACAGAGAAAGCTATTCTGGGCTCATCCATCTTTAATTAATGTCCTTGTAAGATGAGTTTTAAGGCCTCCATTCAGCAACTGAATAGCAGTTTCTCAGGCTGAAAGATATATTTTGTTTGTGCCATAAGCATGGTTATAGTCTTGAAACTAGATGGTTAACCAGTATTGAGAAACACAAACAAGCCTGAGAGGAGGGGGATGGAGATGGGTGTTGAGGGAGATCGTGCAAATATATGTCACATATACAGCCATTAATGACTCATTGCATATAGCACCTCAAGGTCATTTTAGTCCAAGGCTTTAGTTGTAAACACAGTTATTGAGAAATCATGGGAAACTGCTACAAACTAGACTGCTTATGGCCACCTCCATCTCAGAAGGTTATTGGACACTTGGACATGTTCTCTCAAAGGCTGTATTTGTCTCTCCAGTCATTAGGAATGATTAATCCTCATTGGAACCTAACATTTACAATGATATGTTTTACTCATTAAGTTGGAGGGTCTTTTTTCCCCCTATAGTCGCCTGTATTGGACAGAAGTTTCCGATTTTGGCTCTCAGATGTTCTACTACAGTATTATCAACCAGACCTTGAGTCACATTCTTCCACCCATAGCTACAAACCATTCAAATGGAAGGAGTCGGTGTTTTTGTGGTGTTTCCCAATTTGAGTTTAGTGGAACAATGACGATTGATACCTCTGACCTAAAGAAACCGCAGATATATTTTGTCAAAGGGCAAGAGATCTGGGCCATGGATCTGGAAGGATGTCGGTGTTGGCAAGTTCTCACGGTGCCCACTCTGCTTGGTAAGACATCCATATGTGTACATAGATGCTCATTAGTAATGGCAGTCCCTCCTGTTCCATTAAAAATAGTATATTCAAAAGAATCTACGCATGGTATTTGCTCTGGACTCTGCCAAATGTTCCTGTAGAATTTAAGTCAAATTGTTTCCAGGAAAATTGTATAAACATTCACAAAATTTGTTGGATCCGTGCGTTTCTTTGTTGTTTTTGTTGTTATTTTATAATTAACAGTAGAGCTACAATTTATTGAGCTTAACTATATATTCTAAGCAAGCTACCAAACGTGCTACCTCATTTAATTTTCAAAGCACCTTGATGAAGTAGATGCTAGTGTCCTCATTTTATGGATGAGGAAACTGAGGCTGAGAAAGATAAGGTACTTATCCAGAGGGCCATGATTGGTGGAGGAGTTGGGGTTTGAAGCTGGGCCTGACTATAGCATCCATGATCTTACTACCAGCACCCTACTTTGCTTCTGTTGTGATGGTCCCATTGACTCCATATTCAGCATGAGTTGGTCAATATTTGACAGGTCTATTTGTGAAATGCACATGCTTGTGGAGGAAATACTTAAATGTCTGAAATGATTTGGAGGTCTTCTAATTAGGAGTAACTGCAATAGGAAAAAAATGCACTCTAAATACCTCCATGTATTCTTTAAAAAAAAAAATCATTTTATTTATTTATTTGAGAGAGAGAGAGAGAATTTGCACGAGAGGGGATGGGAGGGACAGAGGAGGAGGGGGAATGGGAGGGACAAGCAGACTCTGCACTCAGCCTGAAGTCCTACTCCGGGCTGGATCTCACGACCCTGAGATCATGACCTGAGCCGAAATCAAGAGTTGGACTCCTAACCGGCTGAGCCACCCAGGAGCCCCTACTCCCATATATTCTTTTTTTTTTTTTTTAAAGATTTATTTATTTGACAGAGAGAGACAGCAGTGAGAGAGGGAACACAAGCAGGGGGAGTGGGAGAGGGAGAAGCAGGCTTCCCACTGAGCAGGGAGCCCAAAGTGGGGCTTGATCCCAGGACTCTGGGATCATGACCCGAGCCGAAGGCAGACGTTTAACGACTGAGCCACCCAGGAACCCCTACTCTCATATATTCTTAAGAGTCTACTCCTCACTGTCCAGTGTAGTAACCAACAGTCACATGTGATTTAAGTTCAAACTAACTAAAATTAACTGAAATTAAAAATTTAATTCTGCAGTCACATGAACCACATTTTAAGTGGTTAAAAACCACATGGTTATTGTGTTGGGCAGCATAGATAGAAAATATTTCCATCATCACAAGTGCTATTGGACATTACTGGTCTATATAGTAAAGTTTTGAAATTGCAAATGAGTGTGTATATGTGTGTCTGTGTTATAACTGCACATATGGTTTTGTTGACATGTTACCTAGAGCCTTTTAGAAACAATTCCAATATACTTTCAATGGGCTTTAGAAATAATGTTTTGAACTTCTCAGGAGAATTACTTGTTTCTGTTCAATCTGTGACAAAGACTTTCCTTGATCAAACATTAGGCTCCTCTGAAATCTTTCCTCAATTAGGCCTTGACCTTGGTCTTCCAAGTCTGTCATTGCTGAGTCTAGTTTTAGCAAGAATCTTGCTAATCACTTTAGAGATAATCCCCCACCCTTGGTATCTGATGAAATTCTTCATCCCCCACCCTTGATGTTCTTGAATTGCCTTTAGCAAAAAATCATAGTAAGCCTGTTTAGCAAGAATCTCCCTATCCTTGATGTTTCTTCTTAGTAATTTTCTGTCCATGCATCCCCTCACTCTGCTTGTTGGCTCCGCATCCCCAGCTGACTTTGTTGTATGTGAAGTTGAGCACATCTCTCTCCCCCATTGCAGTATTGCAGTAGTCTTAAGTCTTCCTTACCATTTTAAACAAGTGTCAGAATTGTCAGAATAATTTTTCTTTATCATTTGATACACAAGAATTATCTAGTGGGCCATTATCTTATAGGTATAGAACTGGTTAGTCTTACAAGAATCCATAATTGAAATTTATAACCCTAAAATTAGAATATCTAAATGACTTTAAAGATCCTTTGGCTGGTAGGATGTTGGAAGAAATCCCCTCTACGAAAACACCCTTGCTTGAACACTTGCTTATAAAAAATCTACTTCTTTTATAAGGAAGTTTTTAAATTTTTTGCAACAATTCCAAATATTGGATTTCCCCCCTATATTTAGCCAAAGTTTTCTCCCCATTTTTCCCATTCATTGGTCTGAGTTCTGACCTCTAACTTTATAAAGAATAAATCAATCACTTTCTATACAATAACCATTCAAATATGTTGGGGCAACTGTCATAGCTCATTCTAAGTACTTCTATTGAAGGAAAAATTCATGTATCTGTAACTACTCCTCACATGATGTGGCTTCTAGATCATTCTTTGCCCTAGTAACCCTCCTGTGGTTTCACTCCAGCTGCTTGATATCCTCTTAAATGTCGCCCCCATAACGACTCCCTGTCCTCTCACTGTGGTCTGGTTAGTGCAGGGAGCCTCTGACTTCCTCCGTCTTCTTTTATTGGTGGTAAACATGGCCTTATGTCTTTAGGTTGCCTGTCATTTGAAAACCCTGTAGCCTTTTTCATGTTAACTATTATTAAGCCAGATTTCTTTAATTTGTTATTTATAGGGTTGATTTTAAGCTTGAATTTAGGATGTCACATTTATTCCTATTAAATTTCAATCCATTTCCTGATTTTGTTGTGATATTTTCAAATTTTAAGTCAGTGATTGAACATACTAGTGTCAGTAGAATCATGTATTCTGTACAAATTTGATAAGTATGTTTACTCTGCATTTATTCCTAATCATTGATAAAAAATATTGAGCAAGACACTGAGCCCTGGGCCTATCTTCTAACACCTCTCTTCCAATAGGCATTGCTTGAGGTGGAGTCACACAAGTTAAGTTGTAAATCTTGGCTCTGCCCTTTACTAATTTTGTGACCTTGAGGAGATTATTTAACTCCTCAAAGCCTCAGTTTCCACTCCTACAAAATGAGGCTAATAATAATAGTATTTACCTTATTGACTTAGGATGGAGCTAAAATGAGAAAATGTCTATAAAATCTTTAGCTTCATGACATAAAATAAAGGTGGTATTTTTTTCCATTGAAAATTTAGCAATTACAATACAGAAAAAGGATTTCACATATTGTGTAGAGTAGAAACATATGCTATGTATTTTGTTCTTTATGTTCTTTATTCTGTGTTTTTCATGAGCAGGAAAAACACCTGAAAGCTTAACTGTGGATGGGGAATTTCTATACTGGATCTCCTCGGCGAAGGACCGCACACAGATTTATCAAGCAAAGAAAAGCAATGGGGCCATTGTCTCTCGGGTGAAGGCCGAAAGGAGTAAGCGTATCTTGGCTTACAGTTCAGTTCTGCAGCCTTTTCCAGGTAATAAGATCACCCCCTTAATCAGCATGTTCTCCCCGTTTAGGGTCAGAAAAGTCTCAGAATGTCTCCTTCTCCGGGCTGTCCCCCCAAGCCCTTCGATATGCTCTGCGTTACTCCAATCGGTCAGGATTGGTGCACACTGTGATTGCTGTTTGCCCTGGATCATAAGTTATCTCCATGTGTATACATGGCTCGGGCTGTGTTAGACAAGTTTAGACAGTGGAAACCCTTGTCTGTCATTGTCTTTGTCCTCTAATTTCTCTTCTCGTTCCCATTTCTCTTCTGTCTTTTCTCCTCTGACAACATTTTAGATCTCCCAGCCCATCAAAAAGCACCGCCTTAAATTTCAGGTCTTTTTCAGAGTAAAGTGCTGTATTTATTGTAGTAATTTGCATATCAACCATTTATCATGTGTACATGTGTGCTAGCATTTTTATTAAGTTCCTATCTTTTTTGGCAATGTGTCACTCATTACATTTTTTAGTGTTGTGCCTCTATCTCCCCCATAAACCCTGTGGACTTTATTATGCAGTTTTGTATAATGCAGTGACTTTTAGGGATGTCTGTATGGTACTATGGCAGAGCTAGCTATGTAATTCATTTTTCACTTTGAGAAATTTAAGAAATTTAGTAAGTCCGTGCAACATCTGTTTGAAATTGAACACACACATATACACGTACATCCTTAAAAATAAAAGCCCTAAACCTAGCATGAGTTTTTGTAACTGGAATTAATTTAAAAAATATGATTAATATAATGCGGTCATTACTTTCTTTGAAATAAAAAAAGGGGCAACTTGATTTTGCTACTATGTACATTATTCAGTGTTCTTTCGCTCCACCTGCTGGAGATTTTGAGCAATGATCAGTTACCTTGCTCCTTTTTTCTGAGGCATTTAAGGACTTCAAAATGTATGGGAAAAAAACCAAAAAACCAAAAAAACCAAAAAACCAAAACCAAGAAACAACCTTGTCTTCCTTTCCTGAAAAACATATCCAACACTTCATTATATCATACCTTGTCAGCTAAATAAAAAAAAAAGACGTTATTATCCTTGATGTTAAATAAATCCGCTGTTCCTCTTTTATACATATATGTGCATATTTTTAATCCTTTCTTATTATTTTAGATAAAGCATTACTGCATCTAGCTTCAGATATAGCAGAGCCAACTATACTTAACACCACTAACACCAGCCTCACAATCAGATTATTGCCCACCAGGACCAACCTCTCGTGGCCCGACATCACCAGACCTACTCCAACATACCTGGTTTATTACAAAGAAGTTAATGACGGGAAAACCAGCTCTGAGCTGGAATATAAAATGCTGGTAAGATTGGAGCTGGTGGTCTTTGTCTTTTCACAAGATACCTTGTTTCTGATATAAAGTTCTCATTCAGGGCGCCTGGGTGGCTCAGTGGGTTAAGCGTCTGCCTTCGGCTCAGGTCACGATCCCAGGGTCCTGGGATCAAGCCAGTCATTGGGCTCCCTGCTGAGCGGAGACCCTGCTCCTGCTGCTCCCCCTGCTTGTGCTCTCTCTCTCGCTGTCCCTCTCTCTCTCTCAAATAACTAAATAAAATCTTAAAAAAATAAAATTCTCACTTGCAGTGAAGTATTTTATATATTCTGAAACATGCAACTCTGCAGACTTTTACAGCTGATTCATCAAAGCAGATGGTGTTCTAGTCTTGTCTGGGAATTAAGCTTCAGGGAAGTATATTAACCCTGACCAGTGGTGGATTGCCATAGTGACAGTTTCCTGAGTGTCCTGGAAGAACTGGGTTTGTTGCCCTCCCTGACTAATTATCCCCAGAAAGTGACAGAGATGTGTTTTTGGGGCCTATGCGGCAGATTGTAAGTTGAGGGATAAGAAATGATTAGACAGAAAGAACATTACTGTATACCCCTCCTCCATAGCACATATTTAATATAAAAATGGTATGTTCTATTTGTGTCTGTTATTTCCTGTATGCTGTGAAATGTGCTATTATATAGGGACTGTGTCTGTGTTTGTCATTGTATTCTGAACACCTAGTGTAGTAGTTGGCTTTGTAGAGGCTTTCACTCGATAGTTCTTGAATGGATGAATTAATTGGCACAATTCATTCCCTCATTGGCATTGGTGTTTCAGTTGTCCTTGTGATGGAGTCATATGTATCCAATATTTTGCTCTATGCTTGTTATTTAACCAAGTCAAAAGGTGAAATTGACCATCATCTGTTGGAAGTTAAGCACTATATACTTTTCCAGAAAGGACACATGATTCTTGTTATTTCCTTTATTTTGTCTATTTTAACCTTTCTTTACACATTTCAATATATCAGGGACAGCTGGGATCATCTGGCTGACCAAGACCGGGCCGCTGGTACCGGAGAGTTCTGTTACTGCAGCTGATCGGTCCTGTTGTCTTCACACTGATGAATATGGGTCCGAGGCAGTGGTTCTGCAACCTGACTGCACATTGGAGTTTTAAAAATCTCTGGGCCCGCACTTCACCTCAGACCAGTGCAATAAGAATTTCTGGGGGGTGGGACCCAGACACAAGTGTTTTCTTAAGACTTTCCAGATGATTCCATAGTACAACCGAAGTTGTACCCACTGGTCTAAGGAAAGCATTTTACTTTCTTAAGCGTTACCTCTAAGAATGATGAGATAATCCAGCTTCATCTTTCATCATATTCACTTAGGTTGGACACATCTTTACCAGACCATCTTGCTGAATGTTTGTTGTAGTGCTAGAAAATAATATCTTCTTCTGAGAACTGAGCTTCATACGTGAAATGAGCATGTCACAGAATTGACCAAGGGCTGCCCATCATTTTGTATTTATTCTTGGAGGTATTAGGCAACTCAGGTCTGGGCAGATTAGGACAGTGAACATGATCGTTCTCATGATCCAATATCAAAAAATAAATTAACTTCAAAAAATCTTTTAATTATTTTCTCCCTTTGATTAAATATTTCTCCTCCTTTGTACAAAAAAATAAGAATCAGGTATTGATTTTTAAAAATTAATTACAGGAGTTTCAGGAGAGGATAGTCCTTATTGATGGTTTACAACCATTTTCAACATATGTGATACAGACAGCGATAAAGAATTATTATTCAGACCCTGTGGAACGGTTACCTCTGGGAAAAAAGATTTGGGGAAAAACTAAAAGTGGAGGTGAGTTATGGGCTTGGGGCGGGTTTCTAAAGGGGCATTTTGTGATATAGGTGACATATATATCTGTATTTGTTTTTTTAAATTTGGATGCTAAGTAATCTTGATTATGTGAGCTTTTTAAGCTTAATAAGAAAAATGTATTGTTGAAAATACCCTGATGACCTGATATGTGCTCTTACAACAGAAGATGACTATTATTCCATCAGAATGAAAATCAACTAGAAGGTGAAACATCAGAGTCAATACTGTTTGACCAAGAAACACATTCTCTGGTCTCACCACAGAGTGTCACCCTCTCCCCACGTATTCACAGGTCTCTGTGCACGTGGAAACACAGAAGTCAGCCTTTTCTCTGTGTGAATTTTACCAAAGCCACCACTGAGATTGAAAGTAAATAACATTGTTGCCTGAAAGAAAATGGATCTAGAATCTAAAGAGACATTCTAAGTGGTGGTGGTGATTTTGAGGGGATGCCATTTCTTTCAGATGTCTCTGATGACATTCCCCAGGCAAATCTGAGTCAGTTTATTCATCCTCATTGGCCGTATCATTGAGCTGGAGTCAGAGATTGAGTTAGTCCTTAGGCAAAAATAAACGACAGCCTTTCAGGCAGCCCTTTAACTTTCTATGTTACTGTGATATGAGAGACTGGTTTTCCTTTGGAACATCTGTCATTTGTTCTGCTCACATGATATGGTTATTCCGCAACCAAGACCCTGTTCCTTCTTCCCTCGTTCAGTGCTGATGCAACATCCCTTATCATTTGTTGCTATTTGTTTCAGTGCCTGAGGCAGTTAGGCTCATTAACACGACTGTGCAGTCAGACACCAGCCTCCTTATATCCTGGAGAGAATCTCACAAGCCAAATGGACCTAAAGAGTCAGTCCGCTATCAGTTGGCAATCTCACATCTGCCTCTAATTCCAGAGACCCCTCTAAGACCAAGTGAATATCCAAATGGAAGACTCGCTCTCCATGTTACTAGACTGTCCGGTGGGAAACTGTATGTGTTAAAGGTACAGTGAGTGTCTTGGGCGCTTTTATTGCCGTTCTCAAGTGCAAGGCTCTGAAAAGGTTAAGCATTTGTTCTTTTTTACAAAAAGGTTCTGGCCTGCCATGCTGAGGAAATGTGGTGTGCTGAGAGTCATCCTGTCGCTGTCAAAATGTTTGACACACCGGAGAAACCGTATGCCTTGGTTCCAGAGAACACTAGTTTGCAATTAGATTGGAAGGCTCCATCTGATGTTAACCTCACCAGATTTTGGTTTGAACTCCAGAAGGTAGATCTCACCATACACCTTTCAGGCAAATCTGTGTTTTATGCTATGGGATAAATTAGAAGACCTTTTCCTCTTGTATAAATCCACAATATATTTGACAACATTCATTTATTTAGGTTTGTCATATACAGAAGCTATCTAGACTTATTTCTGATGCAAAGAATTTCCAGAGAGATTAGTTTGCTCTTAAAAAGGCTCCGTGGAAAAGGGTATAAGCTATGGTTTACTGGTTTTCGTAATATTTCACTTAGTTTAGATATTATCAGCATGGCTGTCTAGTTTAAAGTCCACAGTAATTTGGTGTTTTCTGTGAAAAAAATAAAAGAAATGAACAAGCAAACAAACAACACCCAAAACCTTGTTTAGAAATGTTCTTTCTGCCACTTAAGGGCTGTGTAGCAACAAGAGAGAAGTAAAATATAAAATGAGTTTATTCTAAATTAGTTTGATCTTGGGCTATAAACTTTAAAAGTTTCCTCGTCCAAAAATCTTCATACTTTTTCCAATATGAAAACATCCACTGAATATGAAAGCATTAATTAATCTAAGTCACTGCTGGGGAGAGTCTATGTTGATTTTTATATTGATACACTTAAAATGGATTATTTTTAATAATTGCTAGATTTCATTTTCAGTAGTATATATTTTGTGTGTCCACATTTGTAAAGATTGGTTAGGAATCTTTTGTTCAGTTGTAACAAAAACAAAGCAGTTTAGTCATGGCCTGTTTTTTTTTTTTTAAAAATGGAGTTCCTCCCCTGGATGTTTTTAAATTTTACTATGTAAGATATTTTCTATGATCTTGTACTTTTTAGATAAAATCTATGAAAACTGTGTAACAACAGTGAATGTCGAGTTGATAAAACCAAAGTCTGTAGTTTAGTTGGACTTCTTCCACTGAGCATGTTTATGATGATTTGTTGCCTATTTAAAAAATGATCATCTTATAAAAATGCAGTTAAATTGGAGGATCACCTTTCTTTAGGACATCTATTTAAGGAAGCTTAATGCAGTTCTGTTTAAAGGCAAGGTGGGGGATGTAAAAAGTTTACTTCCTACGTCAAAGAAATGAGATGGGGATGGGCCTTACATCTGGTGACTCTAAGCCCCTCCTTTTACCAATGAGAAGTCGGAGAGCCAGACAGGTGCCATAGTGAGTCAGATATCACAAGCCAGGCAGGGAAGAGCCCTGGGGGCTGACTCATCCTACAGCAGCCCTACTTGGGTACTATCCATGGAAGGAATATGAGTCACTAAGGCACCCACCCCACTCCTCAAAGTCTGGGACAAGGACAGCAGGCTGGGCCTGCCTGGTTCAGTCCTTGTGACTTTCATGCAGTGCTCTTTGTTTCAAAACTTCCTCTACACTTGCTGAAACAGGTTCCAGATATACCACTTAGAAAATCTTGAAGTTGAGGAGGTAGGGTACAGTAATTTCAAAGGTGTGACCATGTACCAGCACTAACTGCTGAGCACAGTAGAAGGCTGTGTCCTGAGAGGGTTGATGAGTCCATCTAGTCAGAAAGTTCTGTATCTTTTGAGTAACTTGAACCTACCTCATAATGATAGGACAGCTAGGAATGATCCTATAACTCCAGATTGAAACTCTGAGGGGTGAGTGGTAAGGGTGAATATGTATCTTTTTAATTAATAATTTTCAAAAATTCTTTCTAGGAAAGAAGGAGAAAAGGATAAATTTACAGTTTTCATCTTTGTTGTTAAAATTTCCTTCTACAGAAAATGAAGGAATTAGATTACAAGGCTAAATTTCTATCTAGGTCTTAAATTCCACAGATTTTTTTTTTTTTTTTATCACAACAGTGTATAGAAGAAGAACATATTTATTTTAAGATTGAGGAGAAGCAAGTAGTTTCACTTCGGTAAATTATTTTCATGGAAGCCCATTAAAAGCTGAGTGTTTCTCAACTGTCCAGGAAAATTCCTACCAGAACCAAACATTTCTGAAGTTCCGGTCTCTGAGACATGATAGTCTGCACCATTTCCTCCACACCCCCGCCCAAATAATTTGAAAATCCCACTGTGGTATTGAAAATCACCCCTGCACTTGTTGGCCTCTGACAAATGGAAGGTCCTGACTCCCTTGTGATTTACCGGGGTAGCCATGGCGCCTCTCCAAGTTGGTGGTCTGCCCAGAACATTCATTGCTGTGGTGAGGCCAGTACTCGACAGTTTTCCAGCAGAACCCTTGGTCACACATCTGACCTTCCAAGGAGCTTTGATCATTTCTGGATGATATGGAATGTTAGGTCATCTAGACTATTCACTTAAGGTAGTTTCTATAGCAGGTTATTAAGGAGGCAGGGCCACAAAGGGCTAAAATTTTTGAACCAGAAATCAATATTTATCTCTGTCTCTCTCTTTCCCATGGTTCCCAGTGCATCTGTTTCTTTAGCCTGTATGTCATAATGGGATTGATCCATTTCTGAATTTAGTAGGCAATGGCCCAGACATTGGCATTTCTGTATTTTTTTCCCATTCCTTCCATCTCCCCTTTGCCTCTTTCTTTTTGTAACAAGGTGGTCTACTCCCCAAAGGTGCTATAGGAACCATTCTTTATTGAATAGAAAACTAATATAAAGTGTTCATCCAATGAAATGATGTGACCTTGTGAGCACGAAATGAAAAACGAGATGTAAAGTAAGGTTTATTTATGGAAACTGACCTTCTTAGGAAACTCTACTGGAGAAAATACACTAAGAACCCTTGACAAAATGCCACAGCCTTTGTCTTTCCCTACTTGTACATTGAAAAAAAAGATCTCCATTTTCAAATAAGATATTAAAGGTCAAAATACACAGATTTTTTAAAAGCCATGCACAAAGAAAGTGTAAAATAGCTATAAATAGAGACCCAGTATCTACAGTGGAATGAAAGTAAGATTTCCTATATTTAACTTCTAACCTTACTAATTGGTAGCTGAGTGATGGTGGGTAGAAATTTCCCTCTTTTAGGGAACTAGGCATTGTATATATAAAAATAAGGAATGCTGATTAGAAGTCTGGAAAGAGTTTTGGAGGAAGAAACTAAATGTTTTAATTTATAAGTCACTGTGGACCTCTTGAAAGAATCAGAGTATGTAAAATATTATTGATTTGAAATTAGCAAATACACGGAATTAAAAGTATTGTTCTTTTGATCCATCATGGTCCCTCAGCTATGAATTTGCATTCTCAGCCATCCTGATTTAAGGTAGGTGTCTCCAATTAGGGATAACAAAAAGCTAAGCTTCAAATCTTCCATAATAATATATATATAGTAAGAGGTTCATGTCCCACCTTGGACTAATCCTAAGAACCATTATTTAAGTCAGTTATAGGTTGTCACAAAAAACAGAAAAACTAAAAACAAAAAAACCCCCATAAAATGGCCATCAGTGGTGAGATAATGTTTGGGATCAAACATTAATGAAGAAGCTCTTATTTTTTTTAACAGAAAATACATTTGAATAAGTTTTTAATTGCTTGCCATAGACTTGTAAGTTTCTACGTTTAAGAGGGTTTTCTTAAAGAAACAAAAAGATGTTACTTGAGACTTCTTTTTCCAGTGGAAAGACAATGAGTTTTCCCGTGTTAACGCTTCATGCATCCAAGGCCTGGCTTACGTGTGTAACATCACAGATCTACAGCCTTACACGTCCTATACCGTCCGCGTAGTGGTGGTTTATAGGACAGGAGAAAATAGTACCTCACTCCCAGAAAGCTTTAAGACAAAAGGTGAGTACTAACATCCTCAGTACTCAAAAAACTCCTGTAAGTTTCTCAGTGCCTCTCTTACCACTTCTTTCACCAATCCTAGTGGTTAACCTTTTCTTAAAAGATGTAAATTACTATTTCTAGAGCTTGAGTGAAGAAACTGAAAAGAACCAGGAGTCCTTACAGGCATTAACGAGGTAATACTGGCCTGGTGTTGCAGAATACTGAACTGGGCAAGATTATTTTGCCTTTCAGTATCCTCTGCTTTCTTGTCTGGCTGACATTTTGCAGTGAGAACTAAATGAAAACAGTGTTACCGAGTGTTCAACACATATTTACTCACTGACTACTATATTCCAGATGCTAAAAATAAAAAAAAATCCAAAAAGAATGTTAATTAGTGATCCCTATAAGAATCAAGGGAAAAATGCTCCAAAACTTACATAGTTTTCTTTGCATAACTTATTTTGTAGTGAGCTAAGATATATTATTATTCCTATCACTAATCCATCTAATCCATCATTAATAAAAACTTCGGATACTCATTTAAAAATATACACTCATATGAGAGTATTTCTGAATATTTCTTTAATGTATTTGGCTTTTCTTTTTGGAAATGTATCCTATAGAAAGATGGTATGCAGAATATTTTATACTTCTGACTTATCAGTCAGCATTTTCTTATGTTTCCAAAGCTGGAGTCCCAAGCAAACCAGGCATTCCAAAAGTATTAGAAGGGAGCAAAGATTCAATACAGTGGGAAAAAGCTGAAGATAACGGAAGCGGGCTTATGTACTATATCCTTGAGATCAGGTACGTCTGTTTGCAAAAGTGCTTTGTAAACTACAAAGAGCTAAGCAGTTAATTGTAAGGTATTATTAGATCGAAATTAACAATATTTATGAATGTGTATTTATAAATAAATATGAAAGATCTTGAGTTGAAGGACCTTGAGTGCACCATTATGTTCTCTGCTCAATTCCTAGCAGTCAGCCTCAGCACTCCAATTATAAGGCGGATCACATCATTGTTCTCAGAAATCTGCAACTACTTGTCCGAACTTTACGGAAATAATCCAATCATTGACACATGCAACTAATATTTATTTAATATCTATTTCGTTCAAGAAGCTGAGCTGATGTTTGATGTTAGATGATGGTACGCATGTAAATTTCTGATGATGATTTGTTTTAGCAAGATGAATAATGCCTAGTGAGAACCGGCAGTGAACTAGGTATTTTTCAGAATGTAAAAGTAGGTCAAGGTCCGAAATGGTCTGACCTGTATAGGTCACACAGGATTCTTTATCCATTGTGAAGATTACAGTTTCCAGTGTGCTCCCAAGAGTCTGAAAATGTGCCTTCAATGAAAACCGTGCTGCTGATGAACATAAGCAACCTCAGAGCCAGCAAGTATGGGGAGCTCTGTAAATGGTGCCTGGCTCAGATGGACTGATTTCATGCCAACTTGAGGGGAGAATTCCAAATTCCACAGACACTCCCCTCACAGGTCCATGAAGCTATCTTTTAAGAAGCTCCAAGGACAAAAGTCACTTACATAATTATAGTCCTGGCAACTTGAGCTTTAGATCTATTTTTGCTTCATTTTGCTCTGGTACTCCCATAACCTTAAAAAATTTTCCTGTGCACGGTAGAGAATTACATTGGCTGCATTGCTAACTGAAACCTCCTCGAAATTCCTAATACTGGTTTTCATGCAGAGTCATATACATTCTAATCTGCTGAGCCGTCTTGGTGGTCTGTGACTGTAATTATATTCACCAGCCCGCCCACACCACCATCTTGCTAGGACTCCTTAGCATGTTTCCTTCAGTGATGCCTTAAGCCCATAGCTCCATAAATTCTTTGCATTTTCTTGCCCCAAGCCTCTACTGTCAGGACAGGGATGATGGGATAATGGAATGAATTGCTGTACCTTTGGTATCTCAAAGTCGTGTCTTCGGTCAGGACACTAGTATACCTGGGTTCTTGCTGATGGTGCAGGGGTAATGGTAGTGCAAAGTGTGTGAACTTGGGAGCTGAGCAGACTGTATTAGTGTCCGAAGACTGCCACGAGAAAGTACCACCAACTGGGTGGCTTAAAACAACAAGAATTTATTCTCTCACAGTTCTGGGGACTAGAAGTCTGAAATCAAGGTATCAGTAGGACCATGCTCCTTCTGAAGGTCCTAGGGAAGAATCTTTCCTTGCCTCTTCTTAGCCTCTGGGGATTCAGACTTTCCAGCAATCCTTGGTATTTCTTGTAGATGCATCATGTCAGTCTCTGGCTCTGTCATCACCCACTGCTCTCTGTGTTTATCTGTGCCTAAATTTCTCTCTTCTCAAGAAGGCACTGGTCTTGGATTTAAGCCTATCCTAATCCAGTATGACCTCATCCTAACTTAATTACATCTAAGAAGACCTTATTTCCAAACAAGGTCACATTCACAAAGTCTGAGTAGGCATGAGTTTTTTTTTTTTTTAAAGATTTTATTTTTTTGAGAGAGAGAATGAGAGAGAGAGAGAGAGAGAGCATGAGAGGAGGGATGGTCAGAGGGAGAAGCAGACTCTCTGCTGAGCAGGGAGCCTGATGTGGGACTCGATCCCGGGACTCCAGGATCATGACCTGAGCCGAAGGCAGTCGCTCAACCAACTGAGCCACCCAGGCGCCCTGAGTAGGCATGAGTTTTGAGTTTGGTTGAGTTCTTCAACCCAGGACCATGTTTAAACACTTGCTTCATTCCTTTTTTGAATTAAGTTTTCCCATCTGTAAAATGGGACAATGACATTTACCTCCTTAGGTTGTTGTGAAAACTCAGTGAAATGAAACAAAATGAAAAGCACCAGTATGGTGGGTTATAAATAGAAGATGCTCAACCAGTGTCAGAATTCTTGTCTTCCTCAGTGGCCAGTAACTGTGAAGAGACATTTTATAAATTTTTAAGGGTCTCTTTCTTTTGGATCAGAGTTGTTTGGGTTGAACAATGAAAGTGCCAATGCCCAACACAAGACTTCACAAAATGTACAAAAACATTGTATAAAGAGTCATAGGAGCCAAATCGTCCCTAGGACACTTAGCTCCTGGTAAGAGTTGTGAGCAACTCCGCTGCCCTGACCCTCCAGATGTTCTTGCCCATTCCCTGTCACTCAAAGTCTTAGCCTTCCCGTCCCTTTCAGGATGACCACTCAGTTTGTAGGAGCAGAACTAGCTATCCCTAAACCTACTGTGGGTTGGTCCTAAAACTGTTGTTGTCTGAAAAGTCCCAGACTTTGAAAACTTCTTCCCCATCACAAAAGAGGTAATTAGAAGGCCTTGAGCTTGCCTTCAGTTTATGATTCTATTAAAAGACATTCCATTTACATCTTTTGAGCCCCACTTTTGTATTCTTTCCATGTTTCACGTAAAGAATGATGTGGGTTGACTTGAGGTGGCGTGTAGGCCAATACAAATGGAAGGAATACACCTTGGAATCTCAGGTATAATGATAATTTTGGTAGTCGAACTATTATACTTTCTTTATCAGTTTTATGTCCTGTATTTTATTTTATCCAGCTGCGGTATACATAAACTACAGATGGCATAAGAGACTGAGAATTAAGAAAGAATAAAAACTCCAGGTTAGAAACTATGGGCTAATTGTCTTATGTGTTTGAAATTCTGAAGAAAGTTTACACATTCTAATAGCAGGAAAAACCTTTTTAGCTTTCTCTTGGCTATTGATTATTTGTTATTTTCCCAATGGCTGAGTTGGTGGGCTCCTATGCATTGCCAGGATGGCTTTATGAGATTATGCTCAGTTAAGTGTCTGCCTGGGTGGCTCAGTCAGTTAAGTGTCTGTAGCCAAACCATGTGAGAGGAATGAGATCAAGGGTAAAGTGTGTACTAGGAGATGCTCTGGAGTTCTGTCATTAAAATGATACATGAGTGTCCAGAAATAATACATATATTGTCTCATATTTTCTATATTTACCATTTTGCTCTTTTTTTTTTTTTGGTAGAAAGGGCATTTCAAATGATTCACAGAACCAGAATTTAGTGTGGAAGATGGCATTTAATGGATCCTGCAGTAGTATTTGCACATGGAAGTCCAAAAACCTGAAAGGAAGATTTCAGTTCAGAGTAGTAGCTGCAAATAATCTGGGATTTGGTGATTACAGTGGAATCAGTGAGGATATTCTGTTAGTTGGAGGTATGTTACCATGTCTGTCTGTATGCTGACTACACAAAGGTTCGGAGATAAAGATAAGTAAATTTTTAACATTAGAAATAAATTGGATGACTGTGTAATTTATCATCCAGACTATGGAACTATTCATTTCATCTGATGTGACCTTCCTAAAATATCAGAATCCTCATGTCATTTTTCTCCTCAGCAATGATCAGCTACTCTTTCATGCCTAACACATCAAGTCAGTGCTCCTGGATAGGCTTCCCAGGCTGTCCACAGTCTGGTCTGGATCCAGCGTTATGTTCCTGCTCCCCGTACTCTCACCTTCTACTCAACTGTCCTAAAACGATGCTTTCTACATCTTTCACTGTGTATCCCATTTTAGGTTATGATATATCATCTGTCTAATCACGTAGACTAGAAATCTCAATACCATATTTAATTTTTCCCTCTACTCAGTCTCCAAGTTTTGTTGACTTACCATCTTGAATTCTGTCTGTTGAGAGCTCATCTTCCTATTCTCACTTTGGCTTTCCTAATTTATCATTTCTTGCCTGTGCTCTTGACTTAATCACACTGCTGACAGTTGATCTAGCTGAAGCACAAGCTGGATTACTTAACCCCCTTTCTGAAATCCCCGAGATGACTCTCCATTCACTGCCTTTGGAATCAAGGGCAAACTTCTGTGTGGCATTTAAGGCCTTCCATGATCTGCCCTCCAATTGTAGTTCATTGTTCCTATGCTATAGTCCTATCAGACTGGTAAAAGCTTCTTATGATGCGAGGCCTTTAGCTTTGGTTTCTCTCTCTCTCTCAAATGAATAAATAAAGTCTTTAAAAAAAAGATTATACATGTTTCCTCAGCTATTATGAAGTAGAAGCCTGGGTGGGTATATCACAATGGTGCATTGGTAAGCCAGATCTTTGGAAAACCAAACCAAACCAAACCAAGCCTTGACTTTGATGTCCTATGATGTTAAACGCTATTGCTCTGGGTGATCTCAAACTACCAGTGGGTTAACAACTGGCTTGCGAAAATCTACTAGGAGCTAGTTCAGGCATATCTGGCAAACCCCTGAAACTACCTAGCTTTATTCTGCAAATTAACTTTTTTTTTCCATTTATTTTATTAGATGGTTTTTGGATACCAGAAACAAGCTTTGTACTTACTATTATAATTGGAATATTTCTGGTTGTTACAATCCCAGTGGTCTTTGGTAAGTATAATAGCTTTAAAACTACAGGTAGTAACCTTGATCATATTAGTAGATTTACCACTTAGTGTATTCAACCTCCCACATGAAATAAATTCATAAATTTCACAGTTACCTTTGACTGTACTCTCATAAGTACTAACTTCTATGAATCGTTTTTGATCTTGGAGTAACTATTTTATGAAAAATATATCTGTATTTACACTTCATGGTGTACTTTGGATAAAACTAATTACAAAGGCACCAACTTTTGGCTTTCTTTAAACCAATATTTGTTTCAAATTGGCTACATAACAAGTGCCTTGTGGCTTAGAGTTTTAAGTAAATAAAAGAAAAATAACTCTGGATGTAAAAAAAAAAAAGGATTAATAGGAGACCAGTGATAGTCCTTGGTTGGGATAGTTTGGGTCTCTAGGCAGGCAGACAGACCGGTTTGGAAGGAGCGGCTCTTTTGCAGATGACCCATCTCTGGCTTATGGGGTCTACTTGCGCTTTCAGATGTCTGAAAGGTAGATAGCAAGGTAGCTATTTCCCACTCTTCATTTTATACTAATGTGTTGGTCCTAGAAGTCTTTTTTTTTTAAAGATTTATTTTAATGATGAGATAATACTGTGACAACCTCAGAAATATTGGGGCCAAATATTGGGCCTATAGGGTTATTTTGGTAATCATACATCCTGGTTCATTCCTGTTGTTTCAGCATAAACATTAATAGGACTTTCAGTGCCCAAAATGTCCTGGTTTGGATTATAAGGTATTTGGTCATCCTATCACTTACTGATATTATGAGTCTCTGACATAATAAGAAAGCATTATAAGAAAGATATGATAGGGCGCCTGGGTGGCTCAGTCATTTAAGTGTCTGCCTTCGGCTCAGGTCATGATCCCGGAGTCCCAGGATCGAGTCCTGCATTGGGCTCCCGGCTCAGCAGGGAGTCTGCTTCTCCCTCTGACCCTCCCCTCTCTCGTGTTTTCTCTCTCTCTCAAATAAATAAAATCTTGAAAGAAAGAAAGACACGATACTTGCCAGAAAAGAATACTCAAGGACATATTTAGGAAATTGCAACCTGTTTTTTTCATATAGAAGGGAAAGTTACAAACATAAAGCTAAACTCTCTCAGGATAAAGAAAGCCACTATGTTCCTAAGTGGTCTCAATCTTTATTCTTTCCCCAAACTGATTGGAGTTGTAAACTATGAGAGAGCGCGCTGAAACTTGAATTGAGGTTTCTTTTCACAGATTCCACCCAGATGATATATGGAACTCCTTTAGCTAACTGGGAAAGCTAAAAATTTCAGCTGACCCTGCCAGGATCTTAACCTGTGGTTCCAGGGAGTCTAAGCATTGCACAGCTGATGCTTGGGCCGCTAAGCCAGCCCCTCCAGAATTACACGTATGACTGTAGTATATTTGGCAGTTGGCATATAGGCTTGACTGCTTGTCTGCTTTCCTACTGGGAAGGAGTATTACATGAAGAATCTTTCATCTGACCTTTGCTTGCCTACGTGTACATCACCATTGTTCAAACCCATAACTCTAGTGGATGAGCATGAGGTAATTTCAGACAACCCGTCGTGCTTTCAAGACATCCTATGGATATCTGACTTTCTCAGAATTTAAAGGTCTTTATCCTATTTGGAACTTACGAATTTTTTAGTACAGCTAAGCTAATTGGCTCCTTTGCTTTTAGTAGCAGTGCATGTGGTTTCACTAGGAGAAGTGGGTGAGTGCATGAGAAAAGATTGAGTTTATTAAAATAAGGAAAAGTAGCAATTGTTGAAACATATTTGTATTGTGCTGGGGGCTCTCAGCAGAACTACTTATAAATATAAAATTGAAACAGTGATTTAAAAATAAACACCGGCAGCCTTGGCTTTGGTGAGTGGTCGCATCTAACATGCAACGTTAGCCTCATGCTGGGAGCAGAGGGAAATATGAAGCCGGCATATACAATTGCTGGCCTTGGCAGCTTGCCATTTAATGAGGGAGGTAAGACGCACCTGTGTGAAAATATAAATGTGAGAAATAAAAGGCAAGAGGACATGACATGTGCTGGACACTGCGATAGAAATGCGGACCGAGAGCTACACTTGGTCTTAGACATTGAAAGCCAAGAGTCAGCAGAGTGTCAGGGTCTCGGAAGGCATCACTGGGAGCTGGGCCTTTAAAAAAATGAAGAGGGGTAGGGACAGCTTTTCAGGTTTGAAAAATTGCATTAGCACAAGTATTTAAGATCTTTCCCTGCGTGGTCCCTCAGATGGAATTTCCCTTGAATAAAACGCTAACCTGTTGGATATAGAATATACAATGGAATAAAATTCAAATTTTAACGATCATCTTACAAAACACCCTTGCTGTTTTCAACTTTTGAACCAATGTTCTAGTACAGATGGTTGATCTTATGACATAATTGTATTTTAAATTTCCAAAAATCACTTATTTTTATGAGGATGAAAATAGTATTTGCTCATTGTATGAAGAAGACAATATAAATCATCCACGATTTCACAACTGAGAAGACCACTACTAACATTTGGTGGGTTTCATTCCAATAGTTTTTCTGTATGCTTGAGTATGTGTATAAACTTCTGTATTCTGCATTTTAAAAAAGGGAGCATGCCATTATAATCGAAAGCACTCCTCAGATCTACTATAGGAGCATAACCTGGAGCTATCTGGACTCAGAAATAAATTTGTAATTTAATTATAATGCAAATCATTATGTAGTAATTATAATGCAAATTTGTTTTGGTTTCTGTTGCCTCTAGTTTAAGGGTGATTTTGAGAAATAAGTTCTGATATTAAGCTCCTTCAACTTATTTATAACAGCAATAAGAAATGCATGAAGCTTTGGTTTGAGACGTGAAATAAGAAGTGATGTGTTCTAAGTTATGTGTTTTTATAAGTCTTTGTACCAAGATTTAATTAGTTTTTCTACTATGGACACATTTTTCAATCAAATTCTGTTATTCTACCCATGGTGTTCTTATATATAAACATTTAAAATGCTAATATTTCTTGATGAAAAAAGAAAGCAATGTTTTGTTTTGTAAATTATGTCCTTTTCTCTTTATAGTCTGGCACAGAAAATTAAGGAATCAAAAAACTCCCAAGGAAGGGCTGACGGGTCTCATAAACGAAGACAAAGAGTTGGCTGAGCTCCGTGGTCTGGCACCTGGAATAGGGCTGGCTAATGCCTGCTATGCCATACAGTATGTAACCTGGATCATCACTACGGGGCACATAGATGAAGAGTGGGCAACTCTAAAAAGAGTGCCCATGGGTCCCGTGTTGCCCACGATTGTCCTGGTCCATGCTCATTATTCTAGCATGATTATTAATATCATCCCCTTCCATTTTCAAATGTGACCTGAGATGGATGGCAAATTATGTGGTTATTCTATCCTAAGGAAAATAAGCAAAATTCCATTGTGTTCCAGTGTTCTATCGCATAGTTATAAAGTAAACGAAACAAGGACATAAGTACTGAATGGAAAAGAACAGACGGTAGCATGATTGGTTCAACTGGAAGCATCCAGAAGAGAGGAATTCCAAGGGTTCCATGCCTGTGCTGTTAAGTCCATCTGAGTCTGTTTTCAGAGGTTGTATGGTGATTGCCTACAAAAGCTCTTCAGTATAGTTGAGATTTGAACTTACGTTGTCATCATAATTTTTTTAAAAAATTCAATTAGCCAACATATAGTATGTCGTGAGTTTTTGATGTAGTCAAAATAATTAAAGAAAATATTTAAATGTCTTTTTATGCAAGACACTATATTGCAGTTTATGCAAGACACTGTATTACGGCCTCTTGCCAAAAGGAATTATGTAGTCATAGGCCTTGAAATTTATAATCCGAGATATAGAAATGGAAGATTTGAAGTAGACATGGGTGATTTAATTCAGTGATTCAGAGGTGACTTTTCCTTGAGAAAATACTCAGCACATTTGATATTCAAGATTGTCTTTTAAAAACTCAAAGCATTTAGACAATTCTTTCCCTCTCATAATATTCCAAGTGAGAGTTGGCTTCTAAAAGTTATGGAGAAGGAGCTGATTTTTGTAGTCACACTAAATTTTGTTTTACACAAAGGATCAGGTGTGTGAAATAGTTGAAGTGAAAGTTTTTAGGCTTATAAACCCATATGTATTTATTACTAATTTGCAATAGCTTTTTACATAAATTAATTACCTGAAGAAATTAATAACTCACAACTTTTTAACAAAACAAGCTACAGTAAAAACTCTTGAGTCAATGCACACACAGGCATGTTTCTATCAAGATTATGGTGCCTAGCAGTGACATGACATGCTCTCTGTGTTTTGGAATAGGGAAGGAATATTCTGGAAGGTGGAATAGGGAAGGAATAGAAACACAAGATTCCCTGCCACTATATTACATAGAACAGTGTTGCAAAATCATGAGATTTCTCTTTCTCATACTCTTTCTCAAACACTAACACCCAACACCAACTTGTAAACCAATGTATTTTGGGACAACAAAAATATTATTTTCCAGTACTCTTCCAACCCAAGAGGAGATTGAAAGTCTTCCTGCCTTCCCTCGGGAAAAACTGACTCTGCGCCTCTTGTTGGGAAGTGGGGCCTTTGGAGAAGTGTATGAAGGGACAGCAGTGGACATCTTAGGAGCCAGAAGTGGAGAAACCAAAGTAGCAGTGAAGGTAATGCAGATCTTTTAATTCCTTGACATGTCGGGTCAGCACGTTTACATGAATTTACATGGATAAAACTATAGTAACATATGAGTGATCTTAATTGAAAAGACAGCTGAAAGTGGGAGTCCATGCGTGGCAAGAGAAATGACAATGTTTCTTCCATTTCTTCTGTAAGCTCTGTAATCCATAGTTACCGCTAAGGTAACTGATTAGCTAAGACTGGGCAGGCAGTTTTTCCCTTTGAATATACTATAAGAGGACCAGGGGTGGAAAGCACGTTCTCCATGTCTCGGGTTTGAGGGCAGTTGTCACTGATGCAACTTGGCCTTCGCAGTGTGAAATGGCCCTAGTCCATATGTGAACTCTATTTATGAAAATTGAAATGTGAATTTCATATCATTTTCACGTGTTAAGAAAGACCCTCTTTTCGACTTTTGTCCAGCCGTTTGAAAATGTAACGTGTCACTTATACCTCAGGAAACCTGGAAAAACACAAAGATAAAGCTGAACAACTATTTTCAGAGCTCAAGCTGGACAAAAAAAGTTGCAGGCTGGTATTGGTCTCCAAGCTAGAGTTTGCTGACCCCTGTACGACACAGTTATTCGCATGGTATATGGAATGTAGTTTTAAGGAAGTGCTGAGTAGACTCTCATATTTGTCTAAAACCTTTTCATCGAGGGATGATGAATCTTTTATGTAACTGGGCAACATCCTGACCACTGCTTGTTAGGAATTTGTTGCTTTCAGAGACGGCTATACAACCAGAGAGGTTGGCAAAATCCTCTCCACTGCCAAATGATGCAATCTAAAAGTGCTTTAAACTACTCTAGCCTCACCTGGTGTAAACAAGTGTTTATTTTTCTCACATAATGAGAGGACTGCGGGTTTTTGGTGCAGTACTGTGTTAGGTCGGAGCCAGTGTATCTGAAACTCTCTTGACTTTGAACATGTGTGTTGCCTCATGATCCCAAGATGGTTGCCAAAGATCAGGCATAACATCTTCATTCAGGTCAGGGCAAGGGGGAAGGAATGATGTTAGGTGTATATGTTCAAAAAAGTGAAAGTTTTCCACAAGCTTCTCTTCCCTTCAGCAGTTTTCCCCTTACACAGCATTGACCAGAATTGACTCAAGATGACCACCCCTATTTGCAAGGGAGGCTGGAGAATTACAAAACACAATTTTCCTGATTCATTACGACCAATTGTCTGGGACTGGGCATCTTGCCTCTAAGAGACAAATTAGGAGATCATTAGCAAGGAAGCAGGGGGAAACAGATATTGAGTAGAAAACTTTGAAAATTAAGAAACTGGCCTACACACCAAATTTGTTCTTTTTAAAATGTCTACATTTTGGGGCGCCTGGGTGGCTCAGTCGTTAAGCATCTGCCTTCGGCTCAGGTCATGATCCCAGGGTCCTGGGATCGAGCCCCACATTGGGCTCCCTGCTCCGCGGGAAGCCTGCTTCTCCCTCTCCCACTCCCCCTGCTTGTGTTCCCTCTCTCGCTGTGTCTCTCTCTGTCAAATAAATAAATAAAATCTTTAAAAAAAAATAAAATGTCTACATTTTTGGAGGGAATTTGTGTAGATATTACTAGGTCTTTTGTCTTTCAGGCTTTCCCACTTGGACACTAGTTCTAACACAGGCTAAGTTTTGAATGAGTTTGCAGAGCACATGCACATGTATTAGCCATGATCTATTTCCAGCTTTCAGGGTGAATATTACAAAACACATCAAAGATTGTCTCTCCATTAACCCACTGAGCTCACAGAATGTCTGCTATACTGATTGCTGGCTTATTTTGTGTTGTCTAGACTTTGAAGAAGGGCTCCACAGACCAGGAGAAGATTGAGTTCCTGAAAGAGGCACATCTGATGAGGTATCGGGGCAGCTCTGGCTTCATTTTCCCTTGATGGGAGTAGAAAGCTTTTATATCTGATTGGTAAATTGTTAACATTCAAAATGACCCAGCATCACAGGTCATGCCCCAAACAAACATGGCTGAAGTTTAAACATAAATATGTCTGTGGTGACAAGTATTCTATAGAAACCAGTCTTCCAACAGGCAGTCCTCAGGCAAAAGTTCATTTCTTTGACCTTCAACAAGCAGCGTGTTTCGCAAGTGACGTCTGAGGCTGTTCAGCTTTAAACATCCGTATGTTCTTCTAAACGTGTGATAGTGGCTAGAATATCCGGAGTAAGGGAGAGAGCTCTGAAGTACAGGGATGTCAATGAAAATATTCTCTGTCTTAGTAAACTTATCTTCAAGGTTAGAGTCAGTTGCTCATCAAGAAAACTGCTCAGAGGCATCTTAAAGGGAGGGCCTGAGACGGTGGTCCGGCGGGGGCGGGGGTGTCCCAGCTGAGGGTTCTAATCATTAGATCGGGGTTTCCTTGGTTTGATGTCTTGAGAAAATGGTGGAAGCCAAACCTGCGTGTCTGAATTGTTTCTCCAAAAGGAAGAGAATAATATTACATACTTGTGATGACTGAAAGTGTAACGCTTTCAAATATCTTTTGAAGGATAGTGGTTAAGATTACTTTCTTTACCAAAACATAAAATACTTCCTGTGAACCTTTCTTCTAAAGATCACCTATTACAGCCATATGCACTGGCCACTAGGGGTTGCCGTATCATCTCTCTAAGGTAAGCACATGGACCAGTACTTGGAAAAGGAGACTTGCGTTTATTAGAGAAAAACAAAACACCCTCCCCCCCACCGCCCCCTGCAAACAGGACTTTTGAAGGAAACGGGAGATAAAGAATTGCTCTATTTCCCAAAGGCCCTCAGCCAGGGCGCCTGTTGCTGTCATGTCATCCTGCCTGTCTCTTTCCACCTTGTAGCAAGTTTAACCATCCCAACATTCTGAAGCAGCTTGGAGTTTGTCTGCTGAACGAACCTCAATACATTATCCTGGAACTGATGGAAGGAGGAGACCTTCTTACCTATTTGCGTAAAGCCCGGATGACAAAGGTGGGAAATGGGGTCCCCGTATTGGTTTTGTAATGCAAATGCCCTATAACTTCCCACTAAGTTTCTTTAAATTCGGTAGACTGCAGTTTGGGCTGACGGTCAAACCTCAGAAGACTTCTGTGGAAAGAATTCTTGTATTTCCTTCAGTTGGATTAGGACAATTAGAATCCTGGGCTAACTTCTTTTTTTTTTTTTTTTAAAGATTTTACTTATTTATTTGACAGAGAAAGAGAGACAGTGAGAGAGGGAACACAAGCAGGGGGAGTGGGAGAGGGAGAAGCCGGCTTCCCACAGAGCAGGGAGCCCGATGCGGGGCTTGATCCCAGGACCCTGGGATCATGACTTGAGCCGAAGGCAGATGCTTAATGACTGAGCCACCCAGGCACCCCTCCTGGGCTAACTTCTGGCATTTTCTGGTTATTTGAGGCTGTTTTTCATATTTAATGGGAATTCCTCACTCCCAAAATCATTTTTTCTGGAGAACAGAGATGGTATGGTGTTGGAAAGGCACATCTTTCTCTGTACTTAGTCTGTATGCCTGTCTGTCCCAAATTGATACTTGCAAGCCCTCATGTCTTTATTGACTACTCTATGTCCCTACCCAGTCGGCATATCTGTTTGGATTTTCATAGACGTCTCGAACTTGTGTTGGCCAGAACAGAAATCTTGATTTCATACCTCCTCCTCCAAGCCATCCATCCAGTTCCTTGCTTTCTCTTCTACGACCACACTAACAAGTCCAGCCAGCTCTGCAGTTCTGCCTACAGGATGCAAGACTCCATCTTGTCTTCCCTTGCCTTCTGTCCTCAGTGCTCACCTGCAAAGTCTGTGGGATCAGGGCCAGCTGTGACAGCACCTGTGGGAAACTACCTTCCATCTCAGATGAAAAACGCAGGAGACAAAACAAGACACTAACATTTAAAGATTTTTAAAAAATTTGGTTTTTATTTCTATCAAAGTGCACATTCTATGGCTAAAACACTGAAATACAGAACAAGGTTTATAGTGAAGACAGTCTCGTCCCCACATGCCAGGCATCTACACGTTTCTTCTGGTATTTACTGCCATGTTCCTACACACTCTGTATATGGCTGCGCATTGATTTTTTTCAATCTTGGGGGAAATCTCCTGACTCCCTACTATGAGAGGTGAGGATTTAACTCTCTTAGACTGACTCAGTACCAGCCCAAACCCCACGAGCTCTACATATTGAAAAGTTTGTTCCCATATCCTCTGACAGTTATCACAATTTTCACATAAATCAATAGTGCAGATTTACATTACTATGACTACTACTTGCAGCTGAGTTACTCAAATGCTGTGATTATGGTTTTTTTTTCCCCCTTGGGTGAGAATAATAAATACCTCTTTTATTTTCCCCCATTTGCTTCATTTTTTATATATCTCAACCCTTTGACAGAATTGTGGCGCTTCTATCACTGTGGTTAAATAGATCAGCTGATCTAACACCTAACAGGTTTTTTTCTTGGACACTCTCTCCTCCCAGAGCCAATGTGGGTGCTTGTCCTCTGGGCTCTCTGCAGAGCTGTTATCCATGGAGTTCCCTTCACATTTGCTTACCTGCTGATTTTCTTGCTGGACCTTAGTTTCTTCTATTCCATGACTTTTTTGTTCTGTTGTAGAAGAGAGAAAGCATGCATGTGAGGCAAAAGTCTCCTTTTCTCCCCTCTTTTTGAGAAACTGTCCTTTTTCCTTCCCTCACACTTGATGAATAAGTTGGCTGGATTCTAGGCTGAAAACCCCTTTGCCTTTGTTTTCTAGTTTGTACAGTTGCCTTTAAGAAGTCTTCGGCCATTCTGATTCCTGGACTTATGGTCAGTGACCTGCTTTTTGCCCCTCCTCTCTGGAAAATTTTAGGAACTTCTTATCTGTGGTACTTTTTTACCAATCTGGACACTCAGCCTGGAAAATCACCCCTTCAGTTCTGGGATTTTTTTTATATTATTTTTTACTAATAAATAAAATTCTTTGTCTCCTCTATTTCCTTGTTCTCGAAACTCTATTAGCTGGATAATGGACCGCTTTGTTTTACCCTTTTGTTCTATTAGCCATTTTCTCCTGTTTTCCAACTCTGTATTTGTGCTCTCAATTGTGGCAGATTCCTGTTACTTCTAAAATAGAACTTAAAATTTTAATTTTCCACAGACTCGTTCTTATATTTTGATCGCTTCTTGAAATAATATTGTGTTGTTTTTTTTCATATGGGCAAAATCTTATCTAATCTTTCCTAGGACACTAATTATAGTTTTTTAAAGTATTAATTTGCTTCCTGCATTGTCCTGATTTCCTTTATCCTCTTTGTTGTGGGATCTGTTTGTAATGTGAGACGCTTTTCTCAAATGTTTGGTGATTTGTGGTTGATCTTCCTATTTAACAGGGAGGCCTAAGAAGCTGACTGGAACCTGTGTGTCTATGGCAGCTTCCTTTTGGTTGTCCTGTGGACCCTGCTTTTTCACTGGGTCCCTTAATCCTCTAATGACAATATCTGGGTGTCTTCCCTGGCACACCCCACTTTCCCCAGAGAGGAATCTTTATGGTGTCCTGCCTAGGCCATCAATGCCTAAGCCTCAGTTCAGGGAGGTGAGAGAGGAGGGGGTTGGAGGTCCGAAGGCTGAGTATAGGGGCTCTCATTTAATTTTCCTCTCCATTTTCAGCACAGTGTCTGAGTGTGACTGGTATCTTTGAACTTGGAGTTGTTCTGGTTCTGTGTGTGTGTTCTGCAGTGGAAAGCCTCCTGCTGTGGTGGGAGGACCTGGGATCTAGTTAGCTCCCAAAATAAACTTCCAAACATTCCTCTTGCTTCCAGGCTTGCCCCTCACCCCTACATTCAGAGATGCTTATAGGGGGTTTTCTAGTGAAACACGGTCTGATTCTTGCCTTTCCCCCTGCAGGCAGCTAAACTGTCTCTCGGCTCTGCTGAAGGACGATCCTCCATCCACTTCACTTCCCCAAAATGTTTCATGCACTAAATTTATTTTCCTGATGTATTTGTCCTCATGAGATTATAAACATTTCCCTTATACTGTCATCTTAGTAAGGTTTGGGGAGACTACAGAGACCTGTAGTCAGGTCACTGACTACAAATGCACACATTCAGTCCCCCATCTTTAACAACCTGTGTTTATCTGTAGGTTGTGTTTTGTTTGTTTTGGGGTAGAGAAGAGGGGATGAAATGAAAATATGGGCCAGCTCTTTCCAATTTATTCCTATTTAGTCAGGATCCTGATGGTTACACTGATTGGTTCTCGAGGGTTCTTCCGCTGCCTTTCCTGAGCAGGACAGCTTCCGTGCCTCACTGCCCTCACTCCAACCAGTGGGCAGGCTGCTGCTAGGTGCTGAGTGCCAGAACGCCACAGGCTCTAAGTCCCCATCACGCTAAGTTCATTTGGAGCCAGCAGAGTCTCCACAGGGAGTGCTCAGAGGCAACATTCCAGAACAGCCCCAAGCGTCCTTCTCCCTACCCCAGCTTCAAGACTACAGCGCTGGGTTGAATACATCAGGATTGACTGCATCTAGCCCCATACACCTTAGTCCAGTCTTTCATTCTCAGGACCTTAGATTCTGCATCTATAAAATGGGATATTGAATTGAGAATGTTCTCAGACTCTTTTTTTTTTTTTAGCTCTAATATCCTAAGATTCTATTAAGAGGGAAGAAAGTAAAAAACAAAACCAAAACCAACCTAACAAAATAGTATAGATAGCCAGATACAATCAGTTCATCGGTTTTTTTGCTGCATGTTTATCATACAATAGTGAAGGATGTGGCTTTTGCTTTCAAGGACTTTGCCACATGGTAGGGAGGTATGTCACATATAAATAACTTATTTAAGATAGAAAGTGGGAGGGCCTATCAGAGTGCAGTAGAGACTATATTGTAGACGCTCAGAGGAGAGAGATGATTTCCAACTCGGGAGAACTGGGAAGCCTTCACGGAAGAGGTCTTCCATTTGAGACACAACTAAAGTAGGGGATAGAACAGTCTCTGAAACAACACCTTCTCACATGAGTCTTGAAAAGCTTTGACCAGGAACAGACCCAGGTGGAGGTCTGGGGTATGTCTGGGGGGTTTGGCAAGTGATGACAGGTGACAGCCCAGGGCAGGAGCATCTGGAGTCAAGAAGCCCCAACATGGGGTGATGAGGTATCCTAACAGGTTGTCACAGGGTCTGTCAGGAGCAAGGGATAGTTAGAGACATACACAGGCAGGCAGCGTTAAAATCTGTCCACAGGGAATGTGATGCTAGCCACCAGGCTGTAGTTCAGAAGCAAGATTCTAAGTGAGGAGCATCCTCAGTAGAGTGGGCTTTGCCAAAAGCAGAGCAGGATTCCACTCACAGAGGAACCGAGGAACCAGTCGGGAGACCCAGCAGGGACTCAGACACAGGCCAAGAGACCGGTGTCTGATGTCTGCTGGATCTGAACAGTGTTGTGGGAGGATTGATTCTTGGGGGTAAGATCAAGCCTCGCTATCGGACCGAGGTGTGGTAGAGCGGGACCATGGCAATGTTGAGTCTGAGAACGTGGAGAATCTTCCTAGTTTGGGGACAAGACATGAGGTTGTTGGGCAAGCAGGGGGAGCAGCACTTAAGAGCACTCATCTATGAGAAATTGAGAGGTTTCAAGGTTGGGAATCGTTTGAGATGCTCAGTAAAGGATGTGGATGGAAATCAAGAATAAGGAGAGCATTCCAGAATGGTAGCAGAAATAAAGAGGAGCGGTTGAGAAATGCAGAGCAGGTATAAAAACTGCAGGTGGCCCAGTGTGGCTGAAGCATAGACTGGGAGAGGAAACTCTAGGGGACCTCAGTGGAGGTAAAGAGCAGCCTGAGGCCACCATGGAGGCTGTGCTTAGGAATCTGTAATAGACTCTACACGCAGTGGGTCACAACGAAGCGGGCTCATTAAAGCACCAGAGGCTGGAGACAAGTTTGGGATGTGTCAGATAGGGAGGATAATAATGAGGGTAATTGCAGGGAAATGGCAAAGAAAGACAATATATGAATGTAACCTCGGGGAAGGAACTTTGGATTTTTTCCATACGGTACCAATAAAATCTTCCACTGGCTTTTTTTTATGTAGAAATCACTGCAGCTGGTATAGGCTCAACTAAATATGCATGCTGGCTCTCAAGGAGGAGAGGAGTCATCTGTGACCTTGAAATAGGGTGCTGCTAACAATTTATGTGGGGGCTCATCTGAGGAACAAGCCCATTGTCATGACTGACATTACAGTGTGACATTGGGCCAATAATTAAACTAGCTAGTGCTGATTAAATTATCATTATTACATCTTATGACAGCAGCTACTATTTATTAAGTATCTGTTATATACCAGCCAGATTCCATATCTTATCTCAGATCCTATATGGCCAGTATTATTATTTCCATTTTACATATGAGAAAGGTGCTTAGTGAATTAAGCAACGTGAGCAAGTTCACAGAACTCGTAAGTAGCAGAACTAGGTTTCAAATCCTGGTCTGTCTGAACTGACACCCTGCGATCTTTCCAGTAATGATCCTATATTGCCTCTGCCTACTAAAAATAGTCTTATTTATGTATATTTCAATAGAAAGTACGTAAATCTAGCTCTTTCCCTCTTTGTTTGAATTCTTGTAACCAGAACAAAAATACCTTTAAAACATCACATGTATGTTTTGTACAAACTGGAAAAGTACTTGTAACTTTTCTTTCATTTCTTACAGTTTCACGGTCCTTTACTCACCTTGGTTGACCTCGTAGATCTGTGTGTAGATATTTCAAAAGGTTGTGTCTACTTGGAGCAGATGCACTTCATTCACAGGTATGGTGATAGTCTAGATGCAAGATTCTTAATGGACACTGACACAATAATCACCTGAGGTTTGGGTAAAACATACAAGATAATTATACATTTCATTACTTCAAAATAGCAAAAGTTTTTGTGAAAGGTCTCTCTTCTCTAGAGACCTAGTAGGGTTCTTTGTCTGATCTCTGGAACTTTATTATTAGCATTATTAAACATAGCTTCTGCCATAGGGATCTGGCAGCTCGGAATTGCCTTGTCTCTGTGAAAGACTATACCAGTCCATCACGGGTAGTGAAGATTGGGGACTTTGGACTCGCGAGGGACATCTATAAAAATGATTACTATAGAAAGACAGGGGAAGGCTTACTCCCCGTTCGGTGGATGGCTCCAGAAAGTTTGATGGATGGAATATTCACTACTCAATCTGACGTATGGTGAGTTTAACAGGACACAGAGGAATTCAGGCAGAACCAGCCAATGTCAGAGCCAGAAGGGAATATAAAAGGTCATCTAAACTTGTGGGACTATTCTTGGGTCTCAGTATTTTCACCCCTCACCCTCATCAGTTTTGATCCGTTATCTTACCAGTATATGTGAAATAGATACATTTAATTCAAGTATTCTATCACTGTCCAAAAGCGTAGTGGCTAGGACTAATAGGAATTGGTACATATGACTCGATGTCCAAGTATGTGTCCAAATGCCTACTCTTTTGGGATGTGTGGTCATTAATTTATAAGTAGCGTTTAAATCATGGATCTCAAAAACAATATGACATTGGGAAGATTTGGGCATCTCTTTATTATTAAGATAGGGCCACTCCTGTTTGCTTGTTGACCCCAAATTTTGATTAGAGCTATTCAAAATGTAAAGATTTGTTCAATAACTTTTAAGGTGGACTGGCCCCAGGCAACATTGGTAACGAGATAAAATTAGGCCTGAGTGTTGCCAATTCACTTTCATGCCTTTCCTCTCCACGTTTACTAGCAAGGGGAAAAAGGTGAAATGCTTTTTTGCTTACCCCTACATTAGTCTGCATGTTGATGTTATGAAAGCCTTAAGTAATGGAGGTCTGCAGTGCAGTTTCAGCTGAGAGGGAGGAACAAAGTATGTGTGTGTGTGTGTGTGGGTGTGTGTGTGTCCCCTAAGCCTTCCTATCACCTTTGAAGTGTTGCTAGTAGGCAGTTGCTTTTTCTACTTTTTCTTGAGGTCAACTTGCTTTTAAGTCTCCCATTTGCGTTTTATGGGGCCAATAATGCCAATCACATAGTAGATCCCAAGAGCCCCAGGAGTAATTACATTGGACAAACTACTCTAAACGTGGTGTTTGTAATAAGTATAATTAAAGTAAACTCTTTAACATCCTTAGGTCTTTTGGAATTCTGATTTGGGAGATTTTAACTCTTGGTCATCAGCCTTATCCAACTCATTCCAACCTTGATGTTTTAAACTATGTGCAAACAGGAGGGAGACTGGAGCCACCGAGAAATTGTCCTGATGATCTGTAAGTTAATTATGCTAATATAAGCACCTAAAAACCAAAAACATGTGCCCATGCAATTTTATGCCTCACTGGCATGGTATTCTAAAATAAAACCAGAATTTATATATTTGTGTTGTCTACATAGAATGTAAGTTGATTATAACATTAAATTTACTAAATACACGATGGTCTCTTTTCATATATACATGAAATTTCACTTCAGAAACAAAATTTAGAAGAGCAGAATATATTTATACTCTTGATAGATGAATTCTAATAAAGAAATAAAAGCACTATGTATACACACACATACTCTTTTAATTTTGGAAGATCTAATTTGGCTAATACCTTAATTTGCATATTAGGAGATCCTATTAAATAGGAATATATTGTTTAAAAGTTAGATAGCCTTTGTTGATGCAGCTGATACTGGGACATGGTACTATTAAAAATTACACAGGTTGTGATCTATTTATGAACTTAACACAAAGTGACTAAGAATTAGTGACTCTATTAAACTGATCCTGGCTACTAATCAATTCGTGATTCCCAGGAGAGTAAGTGATTTTGATCTAATTGTAAAGAAAAATAAGCCCAGTTATTTTGCTGAGTAGTAATCTGTCTTCTTGTGAAAAACCTCAGCACAAATAACAAGTTTTAAAACTTTTTCTAAGGGATGTTTGCCCCAAGAAACTTCAAAAGGAACAAATCCTAAACAAGTATAAAGTCCTCTGTTACGTGCACGATACAAAGCCACGTATTATATGGAATACATAGGTGTTTAAACCATGGCGCCAGCTCTTCAGCATCTCAGAATGTATTTTGAAAGAAAAGAAACACACATGGAACAGTTGGGTAACAAGCCAACATGTAATAAAGTGCTAAACTGTGTGGTACAGACAAGTGCAAAAGGAATTAGCAGTATGCGGGTACGCACCACGGCTGTACTGCCTTGACTATGCTGTGTTATTTTAGAGGATTATTCAGACTGGAGCCAACGGATGATTAAGAACTGGGCACCTTGGTTGGCTGTTCTACTGGTGAATGTTTTGTATTATTTAAATCTTGCAGCCGGAAGAAGAAGAAGGTTTGAATCGCTGCTTGTTTCTGATTGGGCTTTTACAGACTCTGGGACATTTACAGGGAGATCAGATGTACACATACCTGATCAAGTTTGGTGACCGTGCTTAAAAATGATTCATGGTCCTTTTGGGGGAGATGGAAAAAATTCTGGAAATGGGAAGTCAGAAATTAAACAGAATTTGAAAACCTTTGGTCTAGGGTTTGAGGAAAAACCCCAGCATGCCTAAGCATGAAATATATTTTTATTGGCTAGCAAACTAATCACTGCTCTACATCTCTTACATATCTATCAAACACTCAGAAATTTTCCTCCGAATTTCAGTTGTACCAAATTTTTATTATCCTGTTAGAATTTTATCTGGCCTATTTCCCACTGGGAGTTACCATGTACCTCATCACAATTACCCAATTTTTTTGGATAGGCATTTTAGGAATCAATCACTGAATTGTACATTTTGATTGATGTGTTCATTTATTTTGGAGAGGATGGAGGTGGATAATTACCGGGCGGTTGTGGAGCAGAAAAATGTAGGTATGTTGAACTTTGCTCTACCAAGGTGTATCCAGATATGCAACTAGAAAGAGGAGGAAGACAGGATGCTAGAAAAGTGCTAGAAAAACATTCCAGTTTATGGGCAAAGATATTCTATGTAACATTTATATGTTCTATATGTATATAACATACATTTATATAACTTCTCCAAATATATAACTTAATATTCTATATAACTTTGTGTTGAATAATTCATTGGTTGGATATATTATTGCCCTAATTTTATAAAAGTATCACTCCCTTAAAGCCCAAATTTTCCATTGGTGGCTTTGAAGTTCATTTGAACACCGGTCACTAAAGAGTAAACAATGCTCTCAGCCCCCTAAGGGTTGCAGGCTCTCAGAGCCCTGGGAAGGGTTAAGGATCCATGGCCAACCAGGAAAACAAGTGTGCTAGGAAATGGAGCTCTCAGCCATGCCCTTCAATCTGGCCACGGCCTTAAGTTGTCATGATAAAGATTAACTACTCTCCTTAGAGTACAGAGGAAACTGATTTTTATTTGAAGCAGTTCTCTGAGATCACAGGCCCAGCTTAGAGGGTTGAAAATCTGCACTGAGCCGCGCTGCACCTTCTATTCACTGCCTAAATGCTCAGCACCTGGATGCACTCTGGGTCAGGTGAGCCCATAGATGGCTACGCTGTGCTCAACTATTAATGGAATGCAGGAGTTCAGAGCATTCCTGCCCTTCTTTCCATAGCCTGGGATGTATGGTGGAAAGCCCGGTCCTCAGTATTCTCTTCAACTTTCAGTTTGCACAACATCCACGCCACTCTTGAGAAGAAACGGGATCAAAGGGCAATCTACTTCAAGTGAGAGCTCTTGGGGGTTCTCTGACAGATGTATCACAGCAGTAACTGAAACTACTGGAGAGAATCTCAAATGTAGGAGGTGACAATGGGAGGGCATGAGGGTTCACCATCTTATTTTTACCTCTTAGAAAATATGTACACCTAGATGCTAATTGGGCCTCTTCGGGATTGGTTATAATGAGTAAGGGAGTTCTGGAAAATCTGTATTTTATGTGCTTTGTTTCAATACCTATAGAAACTCATCCCCTTCATACTGAAAGATGCTGTGAAATTTTCATCTGTTAAATTTCAATTGCTTTATGAATTCAAGGACTTTAATACTCACAGAGACCAATAATGAACATGGCTAATGAGTCTCATGCTATTTTAAAAAAACACTGAACACTGAGGCAAAGAAGAGTAAAGGGTTGGCATGGTGAATGGAGGAATTTGAACCTGAACACTTAGCCAAGTGAAATATTTCAAGTATGAGTGAGTATTTTGTAGAGCTAGAAAAACCAGCCTAGGGGAATTTTCACAAAGCGAATGACCTGTAAGTTTATTTAGAGTACTATGCTCGAGTATTTGTAACTATAACGTAGGATAAGTGCAATATTGAATTGCGGCAAGTGCAGGATTGTAAGGGAAGACCCGATGCCAAAGGTATAGTTGCTGTTACTAATTTACCTGAAAGATAGGAGAAATGCATGTTTCAGGAGTTGTCACATTCATAAACTCCTTTTCGTTCCACTGCCACCTCAATGCTGTTTAAGAGTGCAAGTTGCACTCCTTATTTTTAAATGACTATTGCTTTCTAGAGCTCCTCTTTTCTTAATCTAGGGCAATTCCCTGCTCCTTTGCTCCCGGATGGTGGGAGAGAAAGATTTGGTATACTATCAGGTCGTGTGTATTTGCCATCAGAAATTTAAGAATAATGATTGGGTTCAATGTAAATGAAAGCCCCTTAGACGAAAGACAATAGGGATGTCTGTTGAAATAAGTTACAGGGATTAAACAAGAGGCTGAACATCTGGAGGGTCGTTTGAGTGGGTGAGAAACAGAGTGGCGACTGTTAGGAATGGCTTCTTCCTCCTTGCGCCTCCTTCCTTCTCCCCTTCTTTCTACCTTCTCACTTTTTCTTTTCTCTCCTTCTGAATCATCTCTGTTAAGTATCTTGACACCTTTACAGAAATGAAGCAGTTTAGGGCGCCTGGGTGGCTCAGTCTGTTAAGCGGCTGCCTTTCGCTCAGATCATGGTCCCCGGGTCCTGAGATCCAGCCCTGCTTTGGGCTCCTTGCTCAGCGGGGAGCCTGCTTCTCCCTCTGCCTGCCACTCCCCATGCCTGTGCTCTCTCTCTCTCTTAAATAAATAAATAAAATCTTAAAAAAGAAATGAAGCAGGTGGTAAATAAATTAAAAAAACTTCATAGTTAACATATGGCAAGTCCTGAGAGATTCTAATTATTTTTGGCAATATCTTTGAATTGCAACTGTATTTTCAAAAGGGATATGATTCCTATGGCGAAGTATACTTTCTCCTCACAACTTTTAGGACAACCCTTAGGTGAATCATCAAGATTCTGCTTTAACTATTGGTTAAAATTGCATGATCGAATATAGTTATGATATTTTATTTCTAATAAAGAGTCTAATCATCCTTCATTCAAATCTTTGTATCACCCCTGTTTTTAAATGAGAGGTTATAAAGAAACATGTAAAAGATAGGTTCTCAGCCTTGATTCTCATTTTTAAGGAGTAGAGCCAAGTTTGGCACTCTATATTGAGAACGTAAATTCCTTGTCATGTATCTGAAGTCATCAGATGAATACTGGAAATAGACCACTATTAGGTTTCCCCATCATACTCTGATATTGAGTACCAACTCTGACCTGAGGTGCTTGTCAAGAAATGAAAGAGATGAAAGTGGACTTTGCAGGCCATACTATAATGGAACGGAGGTTTTCCATCATAATTTCTAACATAGATACTAGCTATTTTAAATACGATACCTATCGTGATTTCTTGGTCATTGTCATCCAGTGATTGAATACATCCTTACCCTAGCACCACTGCCATTACCTTAGTCCAAACCATCATTATCTCTCACCTCATCTTCTTTAATAACTTCTTTGCTTCTCACTTGCCTCTCTACAATCCATTCATTCTCCACATATATCAGCTGGAGTAATTCCCTAAAAATGTGAAGATCATGCTTTCTTAAAAAACTTCAACAGCTTCCCATCATAGTGCCATAAAATTCAACTCCTAGCCTGGCCTATGAGACCTGCATGATCTCCCCTTCTTCTCCTGATCTCCTTTCACGCTCTCCCCCTCAAGGATGGCTCTTTGGCCACACTGGCGTTCTTTCAGTTTCTAAAATGAGCCAAGCTCTTTCCAAATTTAGGAATTTACACATGCTTTTTCGTCTTCTAGTATGTTCCCTGCATCCCATCCCCACCCTGTTCCCATGAGTAGCATCTTATTTTCCTACAAAGTTCCTTGGCTTAAATGTCATTTCTTCTGAGTGTACTTCTGAGAGCAACTTACTAAAAATGTTCCATCTCTATTAGAGATCACATTTGTTTTCTTTAGCACATTTTTTTAGAACTTGTAATTTGTAATTGTATATTAATCTGTTGATATGGTAGTACGAATATTTTTTAAAGATTTATTTATTTATTTTTAGAGAGAGTGAGAATGAGCAAGCCAGGAGTGGAGAGGGAGGAGGGGCAGGGCAAAGGGGAAGAGAGTCTCCAGCAAACTCCACAAGGAGCACAGAGCCCAACACAGGGCTCCACGCAGACCTCCATCCCATGACCCTGAGATCACCACCTAAGCCAAAACCAAGAGGCAGATGCTTAACGGACTGGGTCACCAAAGTGCCTCAGTAGTACCAATATTTTTAGATAGTTCCCAACTTATGTTTCATTATCAGTTTTTCTCTCCCTGCCACCAATCTGCCCTCTAGCTCCAGGAAGTAAAAAAAAAAAAAAAAAAAAAGAGCAGGTACTTGACCTTTTTAGTAAGTCATAGACTCAAAAGCCAGGTTTGGAGGAGAGAGAGGTTATCTAGAATCCTTTAGCTCCTTGTTGGTATGCCAAATGCCAGGTTTGAGTGACTAAAACCTATAATTCTGTGTAAGGATAATCTAATTAAAAAGAGGGAGCAGTAGAAACCCCATTCCTTCCCCGCCGTTGAGCCCTGGGGGAAGTGGGAAGAAGAGACCTTGACGGATAGAGGTGGGAGGGTGAGGATGTTGGCTATCCAGGTTCTGAGAAACCTCCTGCAGGCTTCAGTTAGACCAAGTGTGGGCAACTGCCCACCTCACCCAACTTGGGAGGATGGCAACTTGATCATTGAGCGGGGGACCCCTCCCCCATATTGACATGGAGACCCAGCATCAGGAAAAAGGTAGGGCATGTCCAGACAGAGAAGGTCAAGCTTGCACTTCCAAGCCTCCTTTGTTTCCCGTGCAACGTGAACATTTTGTTGAAAACTAGAGATTCAGCCAAGGAGCATCCTATAGGGACACAACAGACACAAGAATGGATCCCCTGGGCCTTGTGAGCATATACAGGACATGATGCAGTCTCAGAGAAGGTTATGGCTAGAGAGAGGAAAGGGAGAAGTTCAGCGGGAGCTGGGTGCAAAGAAAATGTAAGGAAACCATGGGCTGCCTGCCTGTCTTAGGAATGGACCGGACCAGTCACTCCTCACTGAGTTCCTGATCGTCCTACTCGGATACAAGCAAAGATCCGGAGGACACAGAGGGGTCCAAAGGGTTCTTCACTGTGCCATTATAAGTCACATAGGACTTTCACCCAACATCTATGCTGCCACCATCTTGTAGAACAGGACAGAGGGAGTAGGAATAGCATAAAAATAGAGATTGAGTTACTAAGCAGAAAAGACCGAGCATGACTTAAAAAGATCATTTAAAATATTGAATCACACCAGGTTTTAAACTGCATTGTATTTAATGAAGTTAATTTTTTTCCTCTTAGGTGAGGGCTCTAAGAAAGACCTAATCAATAGCAGACAATGTAAAAGAGCTACATTTTTTCCTGTTCATAGGACTTGTAGTGAGATAGATTTTTGTCACCTTCTTACATTACTGTTTGTATCCCTATGAGGACAGGAACCACACTACCACATCCCCAGCTCTTGATATACTGCTGGTATATAATAAGTGTCCAACAAATCTTTGCTGAATGAATGAACACAATTAAGAGTGCTACACAGACATTTCTTAGACAACTGTTAAGGAAAAAATAATGTTTAATAAACCAGCTATTACTGGGGCGCTTGGGTGGCTCATAAGCGTCTGCCTTCAGCTTGGGTCATGATCCCAGCGTCCTGGAATCGAGTCCCTCATCGGGCTCCCTGCTCCTCAGGAAGCCTGCTTCTCCCTCTCCCACTCTACCTGCTTGTGTTCCCTCTCTCTCTGTGTTTCTCTCTGTCAAAAAAATAAATAAAATCTTAAAAAGAAAAATAAACCAGCTATCACTGTCTGAGGAAACTGAGTCTCTTACTTAACCTGACGGTATAATGAAGAGTAAAAGCATTATAACTGGATGTTTCTACCTCAGGTTCTGCCACTAAAGATCTTTGTGGCTTGGAGTAATCTTAGATTTTATTTTATTTTATTTTTTTAAAGATTTTATTTATTTATTTGAGAGAGAGAATGAGATAAAGAGAGAGAGCACGAGAGGGGGCAGTCAGAGGGAGGAGCAGACTCCCTGCTGAGCAGGGAGCCCGATGCGGGACTCGATCCTGGGACTCCAGGATCATGACCTGAGCCGAAGGCAGTCGCTTAACGAACTGAGCCACCCAGGCACCCTTAGATTTTATTTTAGATGTCAGTGTATGAATGTAAAAATCTTCTTAGTCTTCAGTAATTTTTATAGCTGTCAATTCCCTTATGCATTAATTGTTCTCCAGCCATCTATTTATCTGTTTATTTGGATTAATAACTGTTAAAAATAATAGCTTTTCAAAAGAAATAGCTTTTCAAAAGAAAGGTGTTGTGTAACAAAGGTAGTAATATTGCAAGGCACTATTAAATCAGAAACCAAAGATTTTGTTCTGGTTTATTTATATTAATTATGGAAAACTGGCAATAAGTCAAATGTGTTGCCTTCTGAAATGATCTTACATGGACTATCAGTACTGGTTGCCTAATGATCTCCAATCACCGTTTACTTTCATGTCTTTACCCATGTATCCAGGTGGGATTTATTGACCCAGTGCTGGGCTCAAGAACCTGACCAAAGACCTACTTTCCACAAAATTCAAGACAAGCTTCAGTTATTCAGAAATGTTTCCTTAAAGAGTATTTCTCAATGCAGAGAAGAAGCAGACCCCAGTGGAGTCATAAATGAAGGCTTTGAAGGTAAGTTTGATTCTTTTTCAGAATTTTCTGGTTTTCTTTCCAGTGTGAACTGAAGAGGTTAAAACGAGATATACATAGAAGACATTTATGGTGAGTAAGAAGAATAATACACTGGCACCATCCTCATAATAATCAAGTGCTAATTGTACTCCTCTTTGGAAATTATTTTTATTTGTTTTTTTTTAAAGATTTTATTTATTTATTTGAGAGAGAGAGAGGGAGAGAGAAACAGCATGAGAGGGGAAAGGGTCAGAGGGAGAAGCAGGCTCCCCGCTGAGCCGGGAGCCTGATGTGGGACTCGATCCCAGGACTCCGGGATCATGACCTGAGCCGAAGGCAGTCGCTTAACCAACTGAGCCACCCAGGCACCCATGGAAATTATTTTTATTTGTGCACGAAATTAAAAAAAGAAGAATTGTGAGATGGCCCCTGGATTTATCATCTAAGATAGTAAGGAGGTGAATTAACATGTTAGAAATCTGTTTTCCTTCCCCTCCACCCCTCATACGAGTTTCAACCTCAAGTGCAGAGCTGAGTTAATTATAGAGGGTTAGTTGGTGGTACATTATGATCATTGGTCTACGCAGGACTTCTCCCTTGTTTGTTTCGTCCCTTTATCTCCATATTCTTCTCCTGTTCTACTTCCTCTCTCCTCTGGCCAGGCAACCATTCTAATGCCTTTAATGTGTATCTTTTTATTTGTATGTTTTGCTGCAGAGTGTGTATTGTTTTGTACACACAGATGCTGCTGTGTTTGTAAAGCTTCTTTTCTTTTTCATTGAGCCCTGTTTCTAAGAGCCATCCGTGTTGCTATGTATGTATCTAATCATTGCTTCTAACTGCTGAGTAATTTTGTGATGATTATTGGAGTGGCTCATGCCTTGTTAAGGTCTAGTCTGAGTCCACAACCTCAGTAATTTGGTAAATGAGGCAATAATCTTCTGGAACCATTCTACTGTGATGGACAAACTAACCGTTTTTAGTTCAATGAAAAGTACAAAATAGAATTAAAACCCAGTAGTCACTTTCATTTCCAAAATCAGATTTATAATATGTTTGCCTCCTTGGCTGTAGAGAAATGAATTCTAAAATGAGTCACTTCACTTGCTCTAGAACTCCTTCTGGCTATTAAAAGTTCCCAGGGCCCTTTGTGAATGCAGACATTTTTGCTTAGAAATAAAGCTGGCAAGATGGACCACGAGTCAGAATCTCTCAGAAATCAGGCCCCTCAGTCTTTGCAGTGACTGATGATAAGAGGCTGACGGCCGTCGTCGCGGAGTCCAGAGTGAGACCTTTGCCTGGAGTGATGCTCTTGACTAATAGCAGGGAAGACGACAAGGCACACGATGAACATCTGCTTGTCTTGCATGCTGTATTTCTGAATATGTATTGGGGGTAACTCAGACTCCATGACATGCATGGAAATAACACGGATCGCATGGCTTCTTCAAATGAACAGTCAGTGACAGACTGGAAAGGGCTGCGCTTGTCTTGAGCATGCCTCGTTACCCTCATCAGATAAGCCTTGGTAACAGCCCCACACTGGCTCCCCCTGCCTTCCGGTCTCAGAACCCCGCTGATTCTGAGTGTCAGCAGCCGAGCCCTGAGGGGTGCCAACTAGGGCATCAGCCCCATCCTTGTGGAGGGTTCTGTGCATATAGGTACCTGCGTGAAGACCACACAGGATAAGGAAAAACAGACCGGAGGCCATTCTAGGTACTATCAAATCCTTCTCATTTTCTAGGCATTTACTTAACGTATTTCTCTAAATGGAATTTTGATAAAATTAAAGAAAAAATTATTTCAGCAGGTATTGACTTGTTGCAAGGCATAGTGTTAAGCACCTAAGTTTAATGTGTTCCATTAGGCTGTTTTAAGGAAAAAAAAAAGGAGGCAAGAATATTTCTTTCCCTTGAGCAATTAAACTCCCTTGATTTTCTTTAATTTTGTATATAAAGTTTAATAGTGAGCGCCGCTTTTATTTGCTGTCCTTGTCCCAGAACTGCATCTCTGTCCCTACTAGTCTGTTGAAGCCATTTGAATCTGCTCCTCTTGGCCTGGTTCTTATTTGTGGTAACTACACATACAGAAACTTGAGAGAAACTGCAATCGGGGTTGTTTACCAATATGTAAAAGGAAATCTTTTGTTCCTAAGATAGATAAATGGCAGTAACTGAGTAGAGCCCACTGTATAGACACGTGAATGGCAAGCAGAGTGTGGCTTTGCTTGCCTGGCGTTGAAAGAATGTTTTTCTTACTAAATCACTGCTCTTATCTCTGCAAGCAGCACTTAACTGAGAAGACCCCGATTCAAATTTGTGACTATCCCATTTGTAGACCTTATAAAATTAAGCACAATTATTATTGTTTTAAAGTCTTAAGAATTTCTATGTTATTTGACATCAGTCATTGAAATGACTCCTGATTCCTTTCCAGTTTTCCTTAGAATTTTTCCAATAATTAATCTGTCACTGCTCTCGCTATTCTATTTCATAACTGCATCTACATTTTCAAGATCTTTGTTATGAAAGTAATTTATGTTTATGGTTAAAAAACATATAAAATTATCAAAACAGAATAAAAAGCAAAAGTCTCCTATTTCCTCTCTATCCTTACTCTCCAGTGCTCACCATAGTTGGCAACTTGGTTATATGCTTTTAGATATTTTATATGCATATACAACCAATTATAGAAATATTTATGTATGTTTATATGTGTATTGGCTGGATTCAGAGATAAAATTGATGTAATCTAGAGGACTGAGTGGGATATAGATTCTCTGGACAGGGCTACACTATCTTTTTTCTAGTAAGTGAGCTGATGTGTAAGGATTTGGGGAGCAGGAAGCATTTTCTCTTGCCACTGAGAGGGAGTTCGTGTTCTGTGGGAGTCCAGAGGAAGGACGCCCAGTCCATATCCTGTGTCAGAGAGTCAATAAAAGCCAGTGGGAAGGGGTTACTTCCAAGCTGAGTTTTGCAGGGAGGTGAGAAAAACAGTATTTCAGGATAGAAGGCACAGTATGTAGAAAAGCAGGGAAAAATAGAGAATGGGGTGTACACGGAACTGCATGTAGTTTATCACATATGAAGCTGGGAGATGGCAAGGGAGGAAATTGGAGGGAGAGTGGTCATACATAAAAAAATCAGGTAAAAAAATGAAAATGAGTGGGAGCTGAATTAATGAATGGTTACAGGTACAGAGAGGAGGAAACGAAGTCCAGAGGTAGATGTTGTAGGACTTGGCATCGAACTGAGTGACAGAGAGAGGAGACAATGGTGAATCCTAGTGATTTGTGAAAATAGGTGAAAAGTGGTGCTCTTCCCAGAGGCGGGGCACAGGAGGAAGAATAGCTTGGCACAGATTTGGTTTCAGCTGGCTGTGGGCTAAGTGGACAAGCCTCATATTCAGTTGAAAGATCTGTCCTATAAATATAGGTAGCTGAAGTCAAAGGTGTACATGAGGTCATTCAATTAGAGTGTATAGAACAAGAAGGGGAGTGAATGGTGGATGGGACCTAGAGAACAGCCAAGATATTACGGACTGGCAAAGGAAGATGGTGGCACAGAGAGAAGTTGGAAAGGGACAGGAAGGTCATAAGAGAGTGTTGTCATATCCAAAGGAGAGAGGCTCGTGAAGGAGGGAGTGGTCAAATGCCGCAGAGGCAGAGAGTTCCAGGGGGATGCAAGGATCTTACAATTGACATGTAATGTATTTTAAAATCCAACTCTTTGCTCATGGAGTCCTTTCCTTCTAATGTGTGCAGACATTTTATAAACATCACAGAGGCTGCCATAAGGGGTTTAAGAGGGGCTGAGAGCTGAGCTTTACCTTAGACTCTACCAGAAGTCTCTGTGAACCCTTAAGACAATCTTTTTACTATGTTGCATTACCTAGTTCATCTGTGAGGCCGAGATAAGTAACAAACAATGCTCACATTAAATATGGAGAACAAAAACCTTTTTGTGAATGGCTTTTATTTATTTTTCTCATCTTTTTTTTTTAAATTTAAATTCAATTAGCCAACAAATAGTACCTCATTAGTTTCAGATGCCCAGGGCTCATCACATCATGTGCCCTCCTTAATGCCCATCACCCAATTACCCCATCCCCCACCCAACTCCCCTCCAGCCACCCTCAGTTTGTTTCCCATCTCTCATGGTTTGTCTCCTTCTCTGATGGCTTCCCATTCAGTTTTCCCTCCCTTCCCCTATGATCTTCTGCACTGTTTCTTATATTCCACATATGAGTGAAACCATATGATAATTGTCTCTCTCTGATTGATTTACTTCACTCAGCATAATACCCTCTAGTTCAGCTAATCTTATTGTAGCCCTTTTTTATGTGCCCTTCACTGTGCTATGTGGGTTAACTCATTAAATACTCAATAGTCTTATGGCATGGGTATTATATCACCATTTTACAGATGAGAAGACCGAGATTTAGCAATTTGCCGGTGGCCATACTGCTGAGGTGGGGCTGGAGTATGGCTTCTGCTCTCAGCCTTCACAGAAACATGGCTGTCGTAAGGAAAATACCCACACACTTTCCCCAATTTGTTATCAGTAGTGTGCTGTGCAGCTAGGGATAGTGAAAGAACTTATTACTTCTGGCTTGCTAGAAAAGATACCCCGATTTGTCCTGGTCATTTAGGTGCCAAGTTGTTGGCAGGCTGAATTAAAATTCTAAGTAATATTCAAAAAATAGGGAAGCAGACAAACATGCAGAATAACGATGCAGGAAGAGTTTAACAGGGAATATAATCAAACTTTGATAATTTAGATAGAAACAAGCAATTCTGTGCCATGACAGAAATTCAATTTTAGTAAAAGAGAAATTCTCATTCTGTTATTTACAATGGATGTAAATCCTGAAGGTAAGGAATAGAAAGAGATATGGGAGTCACTAAAAATTTTGATTATTGAGATGTGACTGAACAACAGGGGCAGAGAGAAGAAATGGACTGACAGGCAGAGTTTGCATACTTGCAAAGGAGAGAAATCATAAAACAATCCCTTCAAGGGAAGCCTGGGCTTAATTACCTTTTTAATAAGAGAGAATGTGTTTAATAATAGTTTACCGCTCTGCAGACTGGTAGGCATATTTAGCAAAGGAGTAAGATGTCTGTCTTGACTGTTATTATTGGAGATACATAAGAGGGTAAGAAAGCCATTGGAAGGACTTTTTTTGAAAGAAAAAAAAAGCTGGGGGTGGTGGGCATTAGGATTACAGGGAGCAATAATACCATGCTTATCCTATGGTCCTACTGACCTAATGGGGTAGAGAGGGGATAGAGAGAGATTAGTAACATATCTGGGCATCTAGTAAAAATATCCCAGTGACTTCATCCAAACATTTTTGTAAACATCACCTCATCAGTCCCAGAGAGTTCTACAGGAAACAAATCTAAATGCTCCTCTGCTGTTCTAAACATAGCCAGTCAGCCGGCATATGTCTCGTCTGTAAATACCCTGTCTTGCTTGGAAGTCTTTATTTTAATATTTCCCTCTTAAAGAAAGGGTTGCTGAACACATGCTATCTTTGTTCAGGATCTCTGCCTTAAGGTCTGACCTGCAGGCTTTCTATTCAGTTTTAAACAAAAATAAACAAACAAACACCCTCCTCCCCACCATCTCTCAGAAGTTCTTTATGCAATAAGAAGATGTACTAATTGCTGAAAGCTTGCCAGGGTCAAGTTACTAAATATTGCTCTAAGTACTCTAAACCAATGAAGAAGTTAGCTAATGATTTTTCTTTGATGTGCGGTGCCAGAATTTGTAAAAAGAATTTATCTGCCTTATATAAAAGGTTTTTTTTTTCAAATAACTCAACAAGGGGCAAAAAAAAAAAAAAAATTAAAATCACGTATGGGTTGAACGTTTCCAAATATGCTATTTAATGGATTAAAGGTATGAAAATGAAGCTGCTGATAACATGAGTAGCTAGACCTTTATTATAGGTTTAAGTTTTGAAATTTTCTCAACTTTCCTTTAGCCTAATTTCTTTAAGCCTTTTCAGGAACATCCTAATTTCCTCAATAATCTGGGCCCCTGGACTATTTAAAGTTAAATATCTTATTTCTTCCTATCACTTTTTGATATTTTTGGTTGCTATCATCATATATAGAAAACTGTTCTTATGAGTGTCTCAATGGCTCTTAGTGCATGTTGACCATAATCCTAACAGCAGGACGCTTCCAAAGATTAAAGCACTTAGGCATTAACCAAGCTTGGCATCTGATTTCTATGGGGTTGATATTTTATAACACTACGTGACTATCTGTGTGGTTGCAGTGGCCTATCATGATGTTTGAACAATGAAGAGGAACACGAAATGATGGCCAGGAGTCTGTGAGCCTGTCACTCCGCCATCTTGTCCCTCAGCAGTGTGGGAAGGTGGGCAAACAAATGCGCACCTCATAAGACAGAGCAGGGCCGGTGGTTCACGTGCTCTTACAATAAAATAAGATTCGTAGTTCAGGCGGATCCATTAAATTCCATTGGCAAAAAGTAGCTACAGTGGTTCCTCCTTCAGTCCTTCAAAGTTGTTTCTTTCCCCCATATTTCCATTTAAATTCACTCCAAAGAAACCCAACCTGGGTGTACATCAGGGCTAAGGGCAGAGGGTTGGCAACACAGCCGACCTCACCCTCCTTAGTGACACCCATCTGGGTGCTTCTTGCTGGAAGAATGATGGAGACAAAGGAAGGACCACCCTCTGTTGACTGAAATGTTTCTGATTTGTAAAATATGATCCATTTTGAAAGAACAGTAATATTTCTAATCATAAATTTTTCATCCAGGTAATAACACTCGGCAATTGGAAAGCACTGATCACCAACAAACAATCCCCATAATACACATTTATATATTTACGTTTATATTGTGTACTTGTCCCTTTTGATTACCTAGATTTTGTGAAATGTTTCAGAAGCTCTGCTATTAGGTTTCTGCAAGAATTCTTCTACTTTCCTATGGAAAAAAGGTCAGTCTTTAAGTAGAGAAAGACAAACTAGTAATGAGCGTAATTGTGAAGAAGGCCAATTACCCTCTCGCTGCCCATTTTTCTGCCCAGCCACCCTGACCCCACACATGAGCATCCAGAGTCTGTGCCTTTCAAGGACTCCTATGGGGCACACTGCCCACCCACTTGGCTCCTCCTCACAGAGCACAGCAGCTCTGCCCTTCCATCGGGGAGGGTGAATATGGGGACACTGTCTGGGTTCAAATTACAGCTGTGTGACCTTGGGCAAGTTATTTAAGCCCTCTGTGCCTCAGTTTCCCCAAATGTTAAATGGGGACGATACCAACATCTACTTAATAGAAGAGTGAGTTAATATACATATATAGTTTAGAACAGTGCCCGGCACATAGAACATTCTCCGTGTGAACAACAACAATAATGATCACTGTTATTATATTTCATGTCATTTTCCTTCTCCCTCAACTTTGTCATCAAAACTTGCCAGGCCTCTCCATTTCCTATCAGCCTTATGAGGTCATAAACGTGCTAGTTTATTTGCTAAGTAGTACCAATGCAACATGCCCCAGGGAGATAGACAGCTGAGGGGGACCATTCACACCAGTTCACACTCAGTGCGCTCTTGCTTCGGGGTCCTTGTTCTCCGCTGTTCTCTTTCCCTTGAACTTGAACGTTCTTCCTCAGATACCCAAGTGCTGAATTCTCTCACTCAGTTCAGGTCCCTCCTTGCAATGTACCTCGTTAGAGAGGACTTTGCTGACATTTCATCTAAAGTAGCTACCCCCTTCCGCTCCCACCGTTATTTTCTTGCCCCCTTTTGCGGCCACTCGTCACCACCCGACACAGACTTAGTTGGCTGCTAGTTTATTGTCTGTCTCCTCCCCATTAGAATGTAAACCCCAAAGAGGAACAACTTTGCTTTGTTCATTGTTGTCTCATCAATACTTAGAACACAGCCTGGCATGTGTTGAACATCCAATAAATATTTTAATATATGATTAAATTACTCAATCGAAAAGAATATATCCTTCAAGGTGGATATTTTAGCGGGCGGACTAAAAGGTAAGCACTTTAGACAAAAAGGGCCATTGTAAGGCCACTTAATTCCTACCCCTGAGGCTGTGACCTGTTCACTTATGGCAGAGTTATCCTCTCCGCACTCTCCCCACATTTTACATATTCCTTTATGATATACAGCACACATTGTCCTTCTATAGTAATGTTTCTGCTCCCCTACTAGACTACAGTAGCCTCAAAGACACGGAGCATATCTTGTTTCTTTGTATTCCCTGGTGGTTCTCATAAGTGCTTGCTGAACCAGTGTTTATGGTTGGTATTGTTATAATTCTTGTACAGTCTGTATATTAGAGATACAGAAAGTCAAATAGATACTAGTATAACGTTTACGTTTTTTTTTCACAGATGAAGATGGCAGTGTGATCTGTTTGAATTCAGGTGATGTTATGTCAATAGCCTTAATGGAAACCAAGAACCAAGAAGGCTTAAACTATATGGTACTTGCCACAGGTTGTAGCCAAGGTGAAGAAAATTCTGAGGGTCCTCTAGGCTCCAAGGAATCTGAATCTTGTGGTCTGAGGAAAGAAGAGAAGGAACCACATGCGGACAAAGATCTCTGCCAAGAAAAACAAGTGGCTTACTGCCCTCCTGGCAAGCCTGAAGGCCTGAACTATGCCCGTCTCACTCATAGTGGATATAGAGATGGGTCTGATTAATAGCTCTGTTTGGGAAATGCAGAGTTGAGATAAACACTCCCATTAAGTAGTTACTGAAAGAAAACCCTAGTAGAATGAAAGATGTGGTGGTACTCTATGACTCCAAATTAACACCGAAAAGTTCCTGACTTCCTGAATTCTTGGTTCCAAGAGCCATTTGATTTCAGTTGTGACAATCCCCATAACAACTGCGTAACCTTCAGCAGAATTCCCAAGTGAACGACTAAACATTTGGAAAGCTAGGAAGACTCAAGAATCTGGAAGGGAAACTGCCCTCCCCTCCCTTGAGACCCCTTAGTCCATTGCCCACCCTTCAGTCTGGGCTGTACCAGAAGCATCTTGGTTAGATGGTGAGAGACAAAAGAGGTATGTTCAGGGACCTGAAGGAGGGGGATAAAGAGCATGCTCAGGGGGTCGACTGAGCTACAGATATATATATCTGGAAATGACTAAGTAACTCCACACATACAGAAGGAACCAGCACTTGGGACATGAGAGATCATTTGGAATGCTATTACTACAATAAAATATTGTCTTTAATGACTACTCTAAAGAACTTTGTATTTTGGAGGCTCGGAAGAGCAGCTTCAGAGAGCTCTAAGTCCTAAAGTTTAGCATTCCACGAACTTTGGGTTATATAAAAATCACTCTGTGACTTGTGTGCTGCTATGGAATTTAGCTAATATAAAGATCGTTTTCATTTGCCATATCTATCTTATACATAAAATACTTAAGATTACACTTAGTATCAATTCTCCTTAGAACTAAATATAAATGATTGTATGATGTTAATTTAAGCTCTGTGATTTTTTAGCAGCTACACGAAATAATAGATTTCTAAATGAGAACTATTAAAAAAATTTCTTCAGAGAAATGCTCTGATTTAAAGCCAATCATGTTTTTGCAGTCACCCATTTAAATCTGAGTGCCTCAATTGCTCCAAGGGCAACGCTAATGAAAGCATTCTGTGTGTTATCAGTTGCAGTATACAGGATGTTTGCTAGATATAGAAAAGACTTTGATTATAAAATTTGCTAAAAACTACTCCTGGAAGAGGACCACATATCCATTTGCACCGGGGATAATTTGGTTCTTTTTTTAACTTGCTTACTGCCTGAGAGGCTGCACCGATGGTTGGCTGCATGGTGAGGGACACAGGCAAGTCAGCGTGTGAGTTCTGTGGGGGATGGCCCCCAAGGAAACGTCCAGGACCTGTGGCCTCTGCTATAACTGTGATTCCACGGAACGAGGCGGGATATTTTCTCTCTAATCTTCTGATGTTCTAATGGACATTTATCATTCTTCTCAATAGCCCAGCATATGACGCCCCTTGCCATGCTGGGGAATTCCTCCACCTGTATCTTCTGGGTGGGAGCTACATTCCATTTGCTTCCCCCAAGATCTCTTGCAGCAAGAAGGCAGGCATGTGACCCCCACCACTCAGACACACCTACCACAGGTTTCTAATTGAGAGGTAAGGAAGCAAAGAAACAGGGCCCACAGTGAGTCTTTCCAGGTGGTGGTGGCGACTGTAGCTGGTCTGACTCCTGGCATCCAGTGTCCAGGGCCAAGAGAGTCTGCAGAGTAGATCTGGAGCCTGTTGCCTCTAGCAGTCCGGGTAGCTGGATTAGACTGGTTCTGCTGTCTGCTTTTAGCCAGTACTCCGGCTCCAGTCTGGCTCTCAAGCCCTCCCAGGGATTTTGTGAGTTACCCTCGTATCCTTTTAATACATGCTTTTCTTTTAAATCAGCCGGAGTCAGTTTCTGTTGCTTGCAACCAGGACTTTTGCTCTGCCAGTGGCATGGACCTTTATTTTGGAATAGACAAAGAAATGAAAAGTATGTAGAAGAACTGGGTTTTCAGTATATTTGCATTACAATTTGGACAATAGAGAAACTTACAGAATATCTGTAAGGGGAAGAGCCCATAAAATATCATGTTTCAGGGGCGCCTCGGTGCCTCAGTTGGTTGAGTGACTGCCTTCGGCTCAGGTCATGATCCCAGGATCCTGGGATTGAGCCCCGCATCGGGGGGTCCCTGCTCAGCAGGGAGCCTGCTTCTCCCTCTCCCTCTGCCTGCCGCTCCTTCTGCTTGTGTTCCCTCTCTCTCTGTCTCTCTGTCAAATAAATAAATAAAATCTTTAAAAAAAATCATGTTTCAGCGAGGTTATAAATTAAATTAGTAGTTTTTTAAGTAATTCATAATGAATAATATTGGTAGAAATATTTAATACAAAATAAAATAGTGGCTGAAATCTCATGGGTAAAATTTATTATAAAGTGATAAAATACAAATGACTGGTAATATTGAAAACTATATAAGTTAATTCTGGAAAAATTAGACCTTATAATCAAGAGGGAAAAATTGGCAATGGCTAAAAACACTACTTGTTAAAATATTTTTTACTAAAGGGGCGCCTGGGTGGCTCAATCGGTTAAGCGTCTGCCTTTGGCTCAGGTCATGATCCCAGGGTCCTGGGAACCGGCTCTGGGCTCTGTGCTCAGCAGGGAGCCTGCTTCTCCCTCTCCCTCTGCTGCTCCCTCTGCTGCTCCCCCTACTTGTGCTCTCTCACTCTCTAAATCAATCAATCAATAAATAAACTCTTTTTTTTTAAAGATTTTATTTATTTATTTGAGAGAGAGAGAATGAGAGATAGAGAGCACGAGAGGGAAGAGGGTCAGAGGGAGAAGCAGACTCCCCGCTGAGCAGGGAGCCTGATGCGGGACTCGATCCCGGGACTCCAGGATCATGACCTGAGCCGAAGGCAGTCGCTTAACCAACTGAGCCACCCAGGCGCCCCCATCAGTAAATAAACTCTTAAAAAATGTTTTAAAAATCCACTAAAAATTGATGGAAGAATATAATCTTAGTGATAAACTTTTTATCTGCAAAATATGACTTGGAAAAACAATGGCTCCCAAAGGCAAAAGTTACAATTGGTAAGACTAAAACACAATAATACAAAAGCCAATCAATAAATCTAACCTTCATTTTACTTTATTTTTTTTCTCATTGAAGCATAATCGGCATAAAATATCCTGTTCGATTAAGGCATATATCATGGTGATTTGATATTTTTATACATCACAAAATGATTCCCACAATAGGTCTAGTAACCATCTGTTGCCATACAAAGTTATTACAGTATTATTGCCTATATTCCTTATGCTTATATTCCCTAGGTACATTACATCCCCATGACTTATTTATTTTATAACTAGCAATTTGTACCTCTTAATCCTTGTCACCGATTTCACCTTCACCCTCCCCCTCTGGTAACTAACAGTTTGTTTCCTGTACCTATGAGTCTGTTTCTGTTTTGTTTTGTTTGTTCATTTGTTTTATTTTTTAGATTCCACGTGTAAGTGAAATTTTATGGTATTTGTCTTTCTCCGTCTGACTTATTTCACTTAGCAAAATACACTCTAGGTCTATCCATCCAAATTTCATTTTAAATTGTTCAAGGAAAAGAAATAATTCATAAGGAAAAATAAGTTGCAAATGAAAAATATTGTTTATAAACAACAACAACAACACGACAGACTATAAATATAGAGAACAAACTAGTGGTTGCCAGAGGGGAAGGGGCTAGAGGGACAGGTGAAATAGGTGAAGGGTAATGATTAAGAGGTACGAAAAAGAAAAGAAAAGAAAGAAATATTGTTTAAAATTTAACATTGCCAACCAAAGATTTACCTAGATAAAATCAATATGTTGATATAATTCTGATGAAAATGTTTTACTTAAAATGCCCTTCAGAAAAGAGCCTGTCCCTGGGCCCAGATACGTTCTGTTGCTCACCCATACTGGTTTTGCCTGGCCTTGTAGGACTCCTTATCTAGTCCCTGCTTGTCTGAATCACACTCATCCTTTAGGATCAGCTCATATTCCCACTGTTTGGAGAGGCTTGTCCCTAACTGCCTCTCCTCTCCCTTCTCAGAATTACTGTTGCCCTTCTTGTCCTTACATCTTATTTAGCAGTAACCACATACATCTCCATCCAATTTCTATGTATCTTACCCACTTGAATAAATAGCAAGCTCTCTGAAGACAAGGTGACATCTTTTAACCCTTTGGATCTTCTCTCAGCCAAAATAATGTTTAATGGATTAATTGGCTGATTTTCTCATCATCTTTTAACAACACATTTCACAACAAGTATTCACTTGTAGCTCTTAGAACGGATGTCAGAAAATTGGTCTAATGCCAAGGGGAGCTCAAGAGGATTCTTTTGATCCTGAGTCATCTCCTAAGACCTAGATAAATTATAGAAGTTAGGAGACTGCTTTGAGGATCAGGTCAGACTTAGGATAGGCCTGAAATTCTCGAAGCCCTTGAAATGATGGAGAACATATATAGAGGAGGCAATAATTTATTTTACCATTATCAGTTTTTTTCCCTGTCTCAAACCCACCTTTTATACTCAGAATGGCCTTTGGGAATGTTTCTAATGGCTACATAAAATCTCTTAGGATGGATATGCTGTGGTTTACTGCTCCTTTGTAGATCTACTTATTCATTCATTCACTCATTCAGTAAATATTTTTTGAGTGTTTGCCATATAGCAAGCATTGTTATAGGCACTAGGAATGGAGTAATAAAGCAAAGTCTCTGCCTTGGTGGAGGTTACATTCTAGCATTCCAGGTGAGAGAAAAGACATAATAAATAAGCAAAAATATATACGATAATACACTAAAAGTATCTTACACCATGATCAAATGGAACTTATTCAAGAGATACAAGGATGTTTCAATATCCACAAATCAGTCAATGTGATACACAACTTTAACAAAATGGAAGATAAAAATCACATAAGCATCTCAATAGATGCAGGAGAAGTATTTGACAAAATTTGACATCCATTTATGATAAAAACTCACAACAAAGTGAGTATAGAGGGAATGTACCTTAACATAATAAAGTTTATTTATAACCGGCCCACAGTTAACATTATACTTAATGGTGAAAAGCCAAAGCTTTTCCTCTAAGATCAGGAACAAGACAAGGATGTCCATTCTCACCACTTCTGTTCAGCATAGTATTGGATGTCTTAGCCAGAGCAATTAGGCAAGAAAAAGAAATAAAAGACACCTAACCTGGAAAGGAATGAGTAAAACTGTCACTGTTTGCAGATGACATGATATTATATATAGAAAACACTAACCACTCCATCAAAATAATATTAGAACTA